TACAAGTATCTTCTACTCCTAATGACCACGTTTCGCAGCCGTAAAGTGAAACAGGACGAACTGCTACTCGTCCCCTAATTGATAGATGCATATCTCGTCTTCTCCATAGGTGACGTAAGTTGGCAAAAGTCAAACGAGCCTTTCGAATTCGTGTATATATTTCGTCTGACACCAACCCATTAGGTCTGACCAGACCTCTGAGGTAAGCGAAGTTGTCGACGCTTGTGATTACTTCAATCCCTATCCCTAGCTCGGGTGCTGACGCAGGCCAGTCCTGAAGCAGCAACTTGCATTTAGAGGGAGAGAAACGCATCCCAAACATTCTGGCATTGTTTCCTAGCGCTACCAAAAGACTGCATTTTATCAGCATCTTCACTAAGCAGGACTATGTCATCTGCGTATTTCAAGTCGATAAGTAGACCTTCTGGAAGATCGGTTCCTGAAAATCCAGTTGGCGAGAACGTTATTTCTAGCAGTACGTATATGATCAAATTAAACAGAAATGGAGATAATGGACAGCCATGTCGGACACCACTTGAGGTTGCAAAATCAGATGACAGTTCTCCATAAGCTCTGACTCGACTAGTAGCATTCGAGTAAAGAGCCCTCATAAGATTTTTGTAATTCTGAGGAACACTTTTCAATGACAGACACTGCCACAGAACCTCTCGGTCTACAAAGTCAAATGCTGCTTTTAAGCCAAGAAAGACCACCATTGTCGGACGCTGATAAGTATGTCTGTGTTCTAGGACCTGATGAATGGTGAATATGTGGTCAATGCAGCCACGACCAGGTCTGAAGCCAGCCTGATTTTCTCGTGTTTGCAGTTCATGATTCTTTGGTAAGAGTCCAATAATTATTGAGGCTTATATTTTAGACATTATACTAGTCAAACTAACCTCTCTATGGCTACCAGAGGACGGTTTTAACCCGTTCTTATACATTGGGACAATCAATGATTGCGACCAGTCAGATGAGATTACGTCCAACTCCCAGATTTGAGCTAAAATATTAGTCAACCTAATCGTTAAAATCGGACCACCATACTTAAAGACCTTTGGATCCAATCCTTCTGAACCTGTTGCTTTTTTTACGCTTTAGATTAGCTAGAGCTTTTTGAACTTCAACTAGAGTCGGGGGACCTACTTCAATATTCCATTCACGCTGTGTGGGAATAGTGGGTAGTCGCAGAGTAGCTGGACTGCTCCTTAAAGTGTTCTAAATATCTGCGCTGAGAGCAGATAAGTGTCGTCTTTTCCCGAAATGGTTTCACTTACACTTGATTTCTTAATTCCATTTTCTTTTATTAGTCTGAAAATCTGTCTGGTTTTACCTACAGCTACCGCCTTTTCCATCTCTTTTGTTTTCGTTTCCCACCACTGCTCACGGTCATTCCTTAGACTTTTAGTTAACCTAGATCTGACTTGTTTTCGTTCCTCATTGTGTTCATAGCCTGAAGGGATGAGTCTACGAGAATCTATCAGTGCAATAGACTTAGTGGAAATCTACTGGTTTTTCGTGACCCTTTGGCTCGAATCATTAATAGATGTGTCTGCTGCTTCCACAACAGTTCGTATATCTTTCCAAGCAACATCTGGGTCAGCCTTGTTTTCAGAAGTATCTAGGTGTGACCTCAGTTGTTTCTGGAATCTACTTTTGGCTTCCTCGTCACAGAATCCAACTCTTTTGAGTCCTTTTAATGTGGTTTTTCCGCATCTAGTGAGGTGCAAGCAAATGCGTGTTCGTACTAGAACAATATCAGAATCTAAACATGTACTCCAGAACGAGCGTCAGTCTTCTATCGACCCTCTCCAACGATGACTGATGACTATATGGCCTATTTGAGTCCATCGTTGGTTTGATGCACGGGGTCGCCATGTAAGCCGATGTCTCTCCTCATGCTTAAAATTAGTACTTGCTAAAACGAAACGATCGCCTGAGCACAGTTGCAGCAGACGATCACCATTATCTTTTCACTGAGCCGGAATATTAAAATACCTACCTAAATGTCTTTCTATTTCGTTTATGCTACGATGAAAAGGCAACGGAATGTGTCCCTATCCTTCCGAGTTCTTACGGAGCCGTTTAGCCAGACGACACATAGGCGACTGTTGACGGGGATCCATTTTAACTGTTCTTGTTCTGCCCTCGTACTTAGTGCTATGCCTACACCTGCCAGTCCACGAGAACTACCCATCGAGTCGCCAGATACACGGAGGGTGTACTTCGTCAGTTTTCCGTTTTGACGAGGTCAGATCAAGTGAATGATCACACTAGGATCCTGTATGTGTGTTTCGGAGACAGCATACACCAATGGTACGTTGAAAGTCGACGTAGGAGAAATAATAGGAATTGAACAGGGGGATTGATTATGAATACATTGGTCTTGAGTGCTGTTAGAAGTATGAGAGCGGTTATCACTTCCCGGTTTCCCACACCGTGGAAGAGTTCTCCTGGAGGTACCTGAAAAGGGAATTGAATTAAAGGTGGTCTTAGTGACCCGAGAGCGTGACCGCAGTGTCAAAGGGACAACCGCTTGAGGTCGGTCGCACGCGACGTTTTTGTGAGTAAATTTTGTGTTAGTTCCGTACTTGTTGAGATCTTACCGCCGGAGACGGATAACAGTGAGATAAGGCGAGGTGTGCATTTTTAGGGTCGACCGTTTCTAACCCCACCTCTCCTTGTGGAAAGGCAGCATCGCTGTTATGCTGGTTGTCTGAAGGGGACACCTTACTGCTGTCACACCTCTGTACAGTCAGCAGTACGACTTCACCCTCAGACCTTAGGTTTGCTGCTTTTAGCCTTGTCGCTCTTCAACTGACCTGCCTGGTATGGTAGGACCTTGAAGAGCGATTGTTCCAGCCAGTATAGCTCGATTGGTTCATCACAATAGTCAAGCCCGACCATCACGTCAAGGTTGCAACAACGGTCGGGTCGATAAACAAACGATCTCACCCAATGAGTAATATTCGACGGAGTAGTTCGTATCAGTTTTACACAATTTAATACTATGAACATTTATACTACTATAGTACTAACAATAAAGATATTAGCAAACTTAAATCCATAGTTCTACTCAAAAAAGTTCGACATAGTTTAAGGCATAAGTACTAAGGAAAAAGAAGTGGGATGTGAGAATGATATAACAGAAAAATAAAGAGAAAAGAGTAAAAATTTAAATCTATTTATAGGGAAAAATTTCCGTGAGAATGTTTACTGAGGATGTCTAAAGTTAACATAGTCAAGTAGCATTTATAAAAATAGAAGATATATACACAGTATAAACTACATAACAATTACATTTGTGAAAAGAATGAAAAATTTAAGATTATCATCTTTGAACAAATTGAAAAAAGGCAATCATAATAACGAAATAGTCATTCAAGGCAAATAAAAATTGTGCCATAAACACCCATCTAGCCGATAAAGACTGTGAGAAAGCTCGAATAAATAGAAACCATTTAAAGCTATGAAAATATCACTTAGTTAATCTTTACAGAAACATAAGTGTCGGAAACCACTGCGTCTAAATTAAATCAGTTATAGTAGTAAGTAATAATTTTTACTTAATTAAAAAAACAATGAACTAATTTATGAAGCTATTGATAGTCAATTAACATTATGTATGAAATTTAGAGTTTTAGACTGAGATTTACTACGCAAGTGCTCTTCAGTCTAGTATCATACACATTTATTTTGTTTCTCCATCTTCCAGTTCATTATAGTATTTCCGTCTTGTCGATTTGTACTACATATATGTTTGAGAAGTTTAGAGGCATCAAGCACGATTTCAAACAACTTTCATCGCTTCTTAAACTGTATCTTAATGTCTTCTAAGAATGATGACTGTTTGGCATAAGACTAAACTATAAAATGCTCAAAATTATTTTAACATATGATCAAATTACCTCGCCATTTAGAGCAATACAAAGTATAAACTTTCGGTCCCATTTTATATTTCAAAGCCACGGTTAATAATTCGGTACATAAGAACAATAAGTTTTATTGAATGTGCGTTATTATTAGAATTTCTGAGTCAGAGTTTAGTGAGCAGAACACCAGTACGGACGATCGAATGTATTCGACAACAAATTACAGAACTTGTTAATAAAATCTAACAACCATATAGTAAGTGCTCAATTTGCGAAATGTCCATCAATTGTCTCAAAAGGACTCAGACCTCATTGTTCTTGCATTTTCATACAAATTGCATTCTGTTTTCATTCTTTATTGTTCGATCTTCTCGGCTCTCTGCTGCCAGACATTCTGTTCACGACTAACATCATATACTACATATGTCTACATAAGTAGGACACACCACAAGGGTAGTAAAACAAAGAATATATGAAAACGCAGACTAGCTGAGTTCCGTTAATTAACATTAAAGGACTTTAAGTATCTTTATTTGATCAAATTAATCCAGAGATATCGATTTATATTGTTCAACATTTTACGTGGATGAAATATCCAGCAAATATGATTACTATTTCAAAAAAGACAGAAATTCTATTGCTAAATAACTACATCACCTAATTGATAATCTTAAACTCATAACCAACACTTGAATGAATTTTTAGGATTTTGAAGTACCATTTCAGAAAACATGATACATAATACGAAAAAGAAGTCATCGACTTTCATTCTTTGGTTTTTATCTGCAGTTAAGCCAAATGCAGGTTTCCAGAAGATAAACATGTACCCTGCATAATTTGCTATCATTATGTGGGAAAACATGAAGTCTACCTTTCTCACCAAGTGAATTCTGTGTTTAAAAAAGTGGTTACAGTCTTTGATGGGAATTTGTAACCTTATTTAGTAACTACAAATATTAAGCTTATAAATGGTCAGCCATTACAATCCATCTATCTGAAACTTTATGATTTATAAAAAGTGTTCTCATTTTGTCAAGTGGCCTCAGTTATTTGTTTTGCTTTCATAAAATTCTGATCGTAAATTAAATCAACCGTTACCTGTGGCATTAAAAATATGGATTCGCTTACCACAGAATTCCGGTGTTCCTGCCATATCTTGAAAACTTTCATTTGGATTTAGCACTCTAGCTAGGCCAAAATCAATAATTTTTATCTTTCTGGATGCCAGATCTTCGATCATTATATTCTCAGGCTAAAAAACCAAGATTTCATTATTCAGTATATTGGAAGATACAAAAATAAAAAGCATGAACGATAGTGAAAGATTATGTAAAATTACCTTCAGATCCAGGTGAACAATCCCCAAACCATGCATATGTTGGACACCCAAAAGAATTTGCTGGACAAAATTTGAAGCCTCCTCCTCTGATAAACGCTCACATTCGGCTACGCGTGCAAACAGTTCTCCACCAGTTACTCTAATAAGAATCAAAAACCAGCATGAATAAATGTTATTATATTTATTAAGACTTATCAACCATAAGTAAATTAAGATACGGAATAAACATTCATCAGCACAAGTCATCACATTCAGGAGCCTATTGCTTTGCATCAATTGTTTCCCAAATGGATAAACATATGGCCATTTATGATTACACCTGAGTTATTAGGGTAAAACGGTTGGTCTAACTGTAAATAACAAGGAACCACGTCTTCATTTAACTTCAAACTCGGTAATACGTACTGTGATTTCGATAACCGGGTAGTAACAATAACACATCTACAGTATGGTTCAAAGTCAAGTAAATGAATTTGTACTTATTGTGGCAGTTATGTTATAAACCAAAAGATGCAGTATGAAAGGAGGGCCCAAATAGTGCGGCTCTTAACGTTCGCCAATACTTACCAATAATTTTCATGGTTCCATTTCCGACGTTATTTTTTCATCACTAGTGCAATATAAAAAATTAATTCACACTTCAGACATAACTACTGGATGGATTAAAGCGAGTGAAAAAATGATAGACCCTAGATTTACTTGACATTATGTGAAAGTGTATTTTAGTCAATCATCTTGACAATATGTCGAAACACAACTTGACAATAACTGAGAACCGATATATTTCTTTAACTGTTAGCAAACACTAACTATACAGAATAAGCAGAGTTGAAAAAAGTTTTAAAACCTTATATTATCAAGTTTTTATTTTACTAACTTTGCAGTACTTTAAGTAAAGACGAGAATGTTGTTCAATCCTTAGAAAGCTCAAACGTTTACTCTATGTACCCGCATTGGAAAATTATTTAACTGCTGATTTATCTGCAACACTATATAAAAACGTCGAGATGTCAGTTAACTACTATGTTTTTGACAAGTGATTCAGTCAACAATATACTGCATTTAGGAGCCATGAGAGATGGCAGTAACTGACAAGGGAAAATGTAAGACAATAAATTAAATATCCAATATGCTCAAAGCCTCAGTTCTTTTTATTTACTGGTCGGACATGATAAAAAAAGCTTAGCCATGATCGTAAGTGTCAGCAGTTGCCAAACTCACTTAAAAATCTGCTTGACTACTAAGTTGTATGGTCCTTGTGATCTGACCTTTAACAGTGTGATGTATCAGGAGAAAATAATCGACTAAAACTACCTTTTGTCATGTGAAAAACCGTAAGAACCAATAAAAACACAAAAAGTAAATCTTCCACTGATCTGGAGAGAAATCTTTGTTCTATCAGTCTCCAAGAAGAGCCGGAGTAATAAATTTGACTGTTTTGTTTATAAATGGGCTATCAGTTGTATCAAAACACTAGCTCCCACTAAGATTTACATATGGGAACGGTAAGTCAAACGGAACTGGGAATATTATGAATCGAATATTGGGTTCTCTAATAACTTAACTCAAGTCCTGAACATAATCACGATTACTGACACAGTGAACTATTTGTTTAATCTTAGCGGACGTTTCGGTGAAATAGTTAAAAAGACAATTAATAGACTATCACAATTCGACCACGAGATTTGTGTCTAAATCTTGAAAGGAAACACAATCACATACTTATCTTGCAATCGGAGCATTACATAGGACTACCTATATGAGGTAAGATAAATTAAACAATCATTGGTATAACTACAGTTAATATTATAAAATCATATACATATAGCCACACCACTAACTAACTTAAACGCTAAAAGGCCAGTTATGGCGGTTGTAATAAGCTGAAAATTCTCGGTAAGGTCAGCACAGAGCTCATTTCGGGCTACTTCCAGTCCCAAGCCCGGATAAAAGGAGAGTTGAGAGCGGAGGTTGCAACCCCAGAGGAGACCAGTATTTGTTGATAAAGCTTCAAGACTACGTAACGCTTGAAACAGGTGTTTGGATGCATAAGAAATGAATGTCTCAGTCAATTTTTTAGATAAAGTATTTATTATTTTATTTATTTAAACACATAAATATTGGTACAGGGGGGCACCAAATATATATGCGCCACACAAAACAATGAGAATTTAAAGAGAAGGGAAAAAGAAAGGTAAGGAACGTAGGGAATATCTATATTAAAAAAGAACAAAAATGGGGGAAACGAAAAGGCACAATCGGGAGAAATCTTTCAGTTAAGGAAGAAGCAACCGCTTCTTACGAAGAAAGTAAAAGAAGGTTACAGCAGGATCGCCACTGGCTTCTATTCTGAGACATGTCTGATAACGTCTCTAGCCACTGTGTTACACCGTCTCTCAGACCCCAGATAAGAAAGAAAGCTGCAAAGAGCTAGATAAAGTATGGTCAGGATTATTTTGCGAGCAAAAAAACTTAGGCCATTTTGATCTAATTCGGTTCAGAAAATTTCGCAAAATATACCAGTCTGGTTTTTGTGGAGACCCATCATCTCCACAACAGATTTTAATTAAATAATTAGGGCAGACAGTAAATGATGATAAACAGATGAACAGGTGACTAATCGTTTCTTGACCTATAAATACACATAAAACATACCATAGAAGTACAGACAACCAGTAAGACGTAATATGCGTCGAAAGTTTTGATCTGAAATTTACCAGTGGTTCAAAAGAAACCGGTTTGAAAAGTAAGCTAGCGCAATAAGTCTAAACCATGAAACATTTTAATAACAAACCCTAATAACTACTTCACATCACACAAAAGATACATTTTACAGATAAGTGTAAAAGTAGGTAGTAAGGAGATATATGCTGGAAACAGCCTCAAACTGACAACAAATACTGTCTGGATAATCAGCGCTAAATTTAAGTGATTTATGCACAAAATAAAATGGTTTTTGTTTGTACATGCAAACGTAGAGATTAGTTTATACGAAGATAACTCAAAATGTCAATCCCTAAAATATACAACATGATGAACTCATACTGGATTACAAACTACTTACAAGTCCAAAATAAGTACGACAGAATCCTCTCGATAGAAAACTTCATGCAAATTGACAATATTTTCGTGCTGTAAATTTGCAAGAATGAAAGCCTCACGGTCAATGTCAGAAACGCTTGATCCATGAAGTCCTGTGTTAATCCGTTGCTTCATTATGAACTTGGCCGCATATTTTTTGTTCGAACTTTTGCATACACAAAGATTGACATCAGCGAAGTGTCCACTGACAATTCGTTATAAAAACTATGCTTTGAACTTACTCTCCGATTTTCTGTTGTATATCGTACAAGTCCTCCAGGCGACCATGATTAACATGAGGCTCCTAAAATATGACATTTCTTCGAAGAATATTCTACCTGACTTAGCAGAGGCATAATAATCAAACCATCGGATCAACGTTAAGACCAAACCTCGCGCACAGACGCTGAATTTTCTGTTATCAGCCTTTTTGATGGGTTGAAACAACACTTCGTCTTACATGGGCTGACTCAAACTCGAATCAGTGTTCCATGGAGCTTCTATTGATTAAAAATGAATGTTTCTAAACAAAATATAAGCTTTTACTTTCATAACCTATAATCGACAATGAAATATAATTTAGATATCGACGAAGCTTTTAACATTTCGCATCAATCCATATAATATTGACGGTCTTCTCAGATACACCATAATGTTGAGGAAGGTTCCACAAGGTCCTCTTATCCACTCTGTCAAGTGACTTCTCATAGTCAAGGAAGTTGGTGTGTAGTGACGAATTCCATTCAATTGATTGTTCAACAATGGTCCGTAGTGTTAATAAAAATAACATATTTGTAATATCCCGATGAGTGGAAAAATTAAATTTTCGAATTTCTTGACGATTCATGGCTCAGTATAAACCACTTCTCTAGAGAATAAATAACTAACCAATAGTAATGTTACGATTTGGTCTGTACACGGCCTATCCTTACGGAATCCAGCCTGTTTATCTCGGAGTTTGTCGTCTACGGAATCTTTCGTTCGGTCCGACATGTTACCGATAGTAGTGTGATGCCCTTGTAGTTCTCATACTAGTTGAGATCTGTCTTTCGTATCTTGATGTGATATCCTTCTTTCTGGTCTGTAGGCACTTTTCCTTCTTCCCAATATGTTCTGAATAGAATGCAGAGCTTGTTTGCAGTTACTTCTATGTCTGACTTCATTGCTTTGGTTGGTATGTTGTCTGGTCCAACTGCTGCTTTCCCACTGTTGATTTGTTTGATTACCATACTGATTTATTCGATCGTTTGTGAGTTGACATCTACTGGAAGGTCTGTGTGTGCTTCTTCGAGGTCTCGTGGGTCCAGTGAGTCTGATATATTCAAGAGTTCTTCAAAGTATTCCACCCACCTGCTCCTCTGTTTCTGAATGTCAGTGACTGAGTTGCCTTTTCTGTTCTTGACTGGTCTCTCTGGAATACAACATTTCCCTGTCATTTTCTTCGTCGTTTCATATTTTTGTGGGAATATTGTGCCACCTATAACCATTTTGTTGGAGACACATGAATGTAGAAATCTCCATTTCAGTTCCTTTTTCTCAGTCAGTCCATGTCATCACATGATATCTTCATATCCGGTGTTGTCCATTCCGACTTTGGCGGTTAGGTCTCTCATCGGGATGGTCAAGTCCTTTCCTGGACACTTCTCTACGACGGACTTCAGCCTCCTATAATACTGATCTTCATCGTCGTCATTGATATTTTTGGTAGGCGCATAACAGTGGAAAACATTCATTGTGACTCCCTCCCTCTTCGTTTTGAAGAATGTTTTGATGATAGTGGATCAATGAAATTCTCATCCTATAAGTGCTTTTCGTGCTTTTTTTGGACAGCAGCAGTGCAACTCCTTGTGTGTACGGGGCACTTTCTTCTCCGTGACCAGAGTACAACAGCATCCCTCTCAAATCTAGTCTTTTTTGTCTGGCTTGGGGTCAGTGAGTTTCACTTATTTCGAGCACCACCGAGTTGTAGCTCGTCATTTTCTCAGTAATTTTACTGGTCTTGCCGGTCTTCCACATTGTTTAAACATTCCATGTATCTGTGTTAATTGTTATTGTGGTTATTTAAAGGGGCATCAGGTTCGTGGCTTCCTAGGAATCTGGTCCTTCACTATGAGGCGTCATAACTCTTTTGAATGAAGATCTTCCAGCTTTCAGGACAGAGTTTGAATTGTTTGGATGATTTTGTCTGGTTGGCGTTTTGTTGGCAAAGTTGTTTTCAACGGGGTGGGGTTACTGAACTCATGTCCAACTCTGTTCATTTATCCTGGCTTGGGACCGGCTGTAACCCTGGAATTGCTACGGGTGGAGTTAAACTTTTATATACGACACTTTAATAAGGGTTATGTCACCACAATACCACTCGATATTATCTCTAGGCGGATCTGATAAAAATCCCACAAACATAATGTCAGTCAAATTTTGTATTCGTTCATTGCTCTTGAGGAGTTTTGCTGGGGTTCTGTACCTTAGTATAAAACATAGGTGTAAAGAAAGACAGTATCACCAAGACAAGGACTTATTTTTAGGTGTATATTTGTACAGCCGGATGAATTTTCGAGACATTTAATACTAAAAGTTTCTACTACAGTTAACTCTAGCAGGCAAATTAGAAGTGATTGACAAATAAATGCTTGAAGACGGCAAACAAGTAAGTCTACTCAACATATATGTTCACTTCATGGTCACTAAAGCTGCGCAGACATTCACTTGCATTTTGAGTAAAATAATGTAAAATGGACAAAATCGTAGTTAGTAGATTTTTAGGTGGAAGATAAATGTTTGTAAAAAGGACCTTAGTTAGACAATGAATGACTGAAAGTTACTAATTAGAAAAAATTGACAATTTTCTCACTTATATATACACTGTCCTTCCACTGTTTTACTTTTGCTTTAAAGCAAGCATTATGGTTCTTGGCTCTGGAGTTTATCGTATTGGCTCTAGTGTTGAGTTCGACTGGTGTGCTGTCGGTTGTGTCAAGGAACTTCGACGCCTGGGATGGAAAACAGTTATCATCAACTGTAATCCCGAAACTGTGTCAACGGATTTTGATATGTGTGACCGACTCTATTTTGATGAACTATCTCTTGAACGTGTTCTAGATATATATGAGTAAGTCTCATATAATCCAACCATTTTAAGTAACTTGACGTTTTATTTCACAGAAAGTGTACGTTTCTGATAAAGTGGTTTTTCAAGCAGTCCCGTTATTACTTAAGTGACTCAAATGAAACTCTGTACATTAATTGAAAATTACCTTACTAGTTCGCTGCCATTTCACCAATTAAACAAACAAACGTCCTAAGGACTTGTTAATTCGTTTAGTAAGGTATTGTTGACAAAAAACAGTTACTGTGTGGTGCTGTGAGGTCTATACTTTTGGTGGCACTTTTAGTTCTCTTATGTCCTCAGAACTGTAATATATATCGTAGTGTGCAGGTTGATCAGATGGCCGCAAATGCCCTTGAAGTAGATCTCCCGATGAGATGCGACAGGTTTTCAGCTCGATGAACTTCCCACCACTTCAATTCAATCAGGTTGAATATGCTATTGAAATATTATTTCAATATGCCTTTGGGTATCATTCGTTTTATACTCACTCAGTTGATGAAGTGAGGTTTGCTATTCAGTATAAACAAAACGATATCCGGAACTGGGACAAATGTGATGTGTTGTAGTTAGTGTTTCTTTATTGTTTCTTTCTCCTTAGCACAACTCAGTAGTTTGTACAGATTCATGTGTGGTTTTTGTGTTTTAGAGATATTTATCTATCGGTCTCCGCACAACCTTTACGATCGTGGTGAATATTCGTATTTTGTTTATTATCGTCTTTTATACTGGTAAACTTTATTTTCCGAAAAAACTTTTTTCAGCTATAATCTAGTTCACTCTGAGTTTCAGTAATGTAATTTCATGCCGGTCATAGCGCGTCCACGTTTTACCTTTTGAATGAATCTAACAATAGAATGTCTAGGCTTAAGATAAATTCCATACAATCCAAGTGTACTTCAATGAATTTTGGCACGATGGAGATAATGAGCTATACGTAGCTGACTTGACGCTTCTTCAAAAATACAGGCTTTTTAGATCTGGAAAAGAGGTTATTTTGTAGTGGTATTGGGCCTTACCACGAGACAATATGAGAAATAGACATTAAACATTTAACGCGGAGAAATACAGAAGAATGGAGAAGGCGGGAATAATAAATTGAAAGTGTCCGAGTTCATCGGATGGCATGGCTCGGCCTTGCAGGCGTGGTCCCATCTGAATGTTATCTTGTGTCTTCTATTCATATTAAATATATTCTGTCTCTAGCCTAAGCTCGTTCTTTATCACGTATTGGTAATTGTTACAATGCAATGAATCGGTGTAGACGTTGATGTAACTTCCACGTAAGATCTTATAGATTAGGCAGTTACATCATGATAAATCTACAATTTTAGGATTAGGTCTATTATTAGAGCAGTGCTAATATCATAGTAGACCATAATTCTAAATTGGTGAGCTCGACTCAAGAAACGCAACCTCCAATTCTTCATCCATATTTCCACTTTAACTTTTTCGATCGATATTTACTTATGTAAACCCATTATTCTAATAGTCCTCTGATTAATGCTCATATGTATTATCTTAACGCTTTATTGATTATTACTCATAACTTACTAGCTTAATCAATAATAAAAACTGATCATCTACATTAACTAAGTAGCTTTGATGGTTCGTTAACAAGCTTTAATAGCATTAACATGCTTCAGCGAAACAAACTTGTTTTAACATCAAGCTCTAGCAAATATGACCTGTAAATAACCGAAATATACATTGGCTAACGATGAAATCAAGGACTAAATAGTTATCTGAATCTGGTTCTTAGTGTTCTTTCACTTAACACATTCTATTTTTAAACTACAAACTATCCTGCAATATCTTTTCTTCCGAACACTGCCTGCCTAATTTCCAATTGCTGAGTTCCATGGCCAAACAGGATGCAAATGCCAGAAATTTACGGTGAGTTTAGACTATAGATTTCCTGCAATCTTAAGTCTCGTTTAGACTGTTCGTCAGGCAATGCTACATATTTGGCTTAAATTAATTTTGGACTTACACAAATCCAGTTTTCAATGCTGGGTTAATCCAAGAATTTAGTCGACAGTATCTCGTGTATAGTCCAGATTCGAATTACTGTCCAATTCAAATCATCATTACTTGGAAGCGAAAACCACCCAGGCGAGTTTTACTTTTTCCCTTTCCTGGTTCATTTATTATGATTTAAGTACTTCTTAACTTGGATTTTTTCTGTTAGAATGGTTTTGTATATTTCATACGAGCCACTTCAAGGACTAAGTAGAAATATTTAATACTTTTATACCACAACATTCTACTAAGAAAACGTGCTGTTTAAAGGCATTTCTTATTTTAAGTTCCCTTTGCACACATTTATAAATATCGCTAGGTTAACTACAGCGACGTCTTATGTAAAGTTTATAACTTATCATATTCTTAACTAAAATTCCATAAGTCGTCTCGATTTAGAAAAATATTTTTCATTTTGGCCCTGTTTATTATTTTTAATTTGCCATATATCTCAACAACCTGCATGTTAATCTGGCCCGTACTTGCATTGCATTGTATCTCTATGCCTCTTAAATTTAAAAATCATCTGAATCGCCTTTAACATTTTCGATAAACCCGTCATAGACATTACTGCTATACGTATTTGGGTTTACGAATTGGTCTAGTGTATTAGTAGCCTAAAAAGACGAACATGTAAGGGATAATAAAGTCACCAAATCTAGGTATTATCATACTGCACTAATTTAATAACTAAATTCTCATGTTCGACAAACAAATATTTAAAATTAAATCTTCGAAGCCTATTATTAAAATTAACATTATGTAGACGAATATATTTAAATTACCATTAGTAATAAAAACAGGTAACTCGGATTCGTTCACGCTACGAATTTCTGATAATTTTGAATCACACAAAGCAACAGCATCTATTTTTCACTGGATTATCCTCAATCAACACTATAAGTATTTTAACATAATGGTTTCAGAATATCGTCATAAAGCATTGTCATGACTTGACAATCACGTAATATGATTGATAAAGTTGACGAAACTATTAACAAATCGGTCAGAAAATTGACTTATAATTATCATTAAGTAGTGTTTTGCTTTTCATTCACTAAGGATGATTACAGTATGTTTATCAGTTGCTCATTCAGTAAATATCTCAAAACCTTGTCAGTCTAATTGGAGATTTAGCGACACAATCATGCATGCAAATCATCAGTATAAGCAGTCGAGCGAACCTCCTGCAAACTGAAAACATAAATGCCGAATTTACCCCAACACTGACTAAGGTTCAGGCCATTATCATAGACATGAGTTGGGAGTGTACTCCCCTTGGTTACAACCTATGTTCTCCCTGGTAATCACATAAGCATCACTCGCTGTTAATCATCTTGTAAAAGCTTATTTAGACGAACACATCTTGCAGCACCACATCACCTAGAAAGGTGGCACATAGGCTTAACTGATTTCAATTACTTATAATCACTATGTCTCAATGAAATAGCATTCCGTCTTATACCAAACTGACACTTGCAACTAACTTGTATGTACCATCAGCCGATAGGTATGAATATAAATAAATAGTCTATGGCAAATCAGAACATTGAGTCTAGAGCATATCTCTAACGGATACACTCATGTTTAACGAATCGCTCTTATCTATCTGTCCAAAATCCACATAATTATTACTTTTCACGTATTTAAAAATTTTTGATAACAATTCATATGTATTAGTTGTATTACTAAATTCTATCACGGTCAAGTAAAAATGAGGTCGAGAAAATCTCCTCATATCTAAATAAACCGTATCAAACTAACTGGAACACTAGTTAGAATTCTTCTCCGCGCTTATACTTTTGTTCTTTCAGTTAGTCTACTAATACAGATGCAATTGGAAATCAACGCATGGACAACTTACCGGCACATACGTTATTTGATTTCATAATTTAGACCAAATATAATACCACTTTTAACATTTCTACAATATTGATTGTTTTTAATATTTCTAAACAGGAAATGTTATTAACCTACGGCTATTACTATCTTATGGCGACTTATTAAAATATCCCTATACGGAGTCATTTCATTATAATTATAATCCCGCTTTGTTTAGCTCAAATAATCTCCGCCCAAATTTTCATTTTAAGCGTGTTAAGCCTTAAACCAGACACTTTAAAATTATTACGTGTGTTTCCCAACCAGATGCTGCCGCCTTCTTTTTTGATTTATCTTTCAGTTCATCAATACCCGGATGATTCTTATTATTCTTGCTAACCTCCGGCGCGCGACAATCCCGCACAACTTGGTATCGAATCAACGTCACGTTGATTCTGGTGGGAGAGTAGTGTAGTGGCATTAGGCCCTACCACGAGACAATATGAGAAATAGACATTAAACATTTAACGCGGAGAAATACAGAAGAATGGAGAAGGCGGGAATAATAAATTGAAAGTGTCCGAGTTCATCGGATGGCATGGCTCGGCCTTGCAGGCGTGGTCCCATCTGAATGTTATCTTGTGTCTTCTATTCATATTAAATATATTCTGTCTCTAGCCTAAGCTCGTTCTTTATCACGTATTGGTAATTGTTACAATGCAATGAATCGGTGTAGACGTTGATGTAACTTCCACGTAAGATCTTATAGATTAGGCAGTTACATCATGATAAATCTACAATTTTAGGATTAGGTCTATTATTAGAGCAGTGCTAATATCATAGTAGACCATAATTCTAAAATTTCTCCCTATTCCATTAATTCAAAGTCTACAAACATCTCTCTGGATCGTAAATTTGGAACTTCTTTGGTATACTCTTTGATGTTCACCAGTTTTTACAAAGTTTCGACGCAATGAAATTTTAATTTATTGGACATGATTTAAGTATGCCACATCTAAACTTCGAAAATGAATTTTGTTGTTTCTAAGCAATATGAATGAAGTAAACTTCCGTAAATATCCTCAAATTTGATTTAAACACCGATTTTAACAGACATTTGTATGTTTTTTATATCGAGTTTAGTGTAGTGTTATACTGATTGTCTTCTATAGTTAGTTTTTATCTGAATCATAGGTTTATTGTTTGTTATAGGATTGAAAAAAGCATAACTACAAATCCTACTGAATAGACGAAAGTGTCCTGTGTGTATTTGAGGAGGAGCACATGCATGACTGTTTGATGTGATCAATAAGATACGACTAGTAAATCATCATAATCTATGAACGCATTGAGAGCCGTAACCACCGAAATCCCAATGTTTCGTTCGAACGCCAATGACGATATAATAGATTAATGTTTGCTAGATTGGACAAAAAGCAATTTCCATATGATATATAAAGCATTTGTGAATCACTCGTGTTAAAATTTGACTAATGACAAATGTTTTACTTAGCGTAAGGTTTTAGATGCAAAAGGCAAGCAAATTAGTACAAAGATACAAACAACCTAGTCGTAAAGACTGTTTAACACATTTAAAGGTTAGATTAGCACTAAACAACGTACTCTACATGGAAAGCAGTGGTTAATAAATAACTGTTATGTACCCGAGAATAAATATGAATATTTCCAACACAATGCGATCGAATATCTGTCTGCAAGTATTCGAGTAACTACTTCCAGAAGAACAACAATGATTGACCACTCCATGCCGTAATCCTAAACATCATTACGTTTTCATATCAATAAGAAGAAGTATGGAGTAGCTCCAGTGATGTGGCATATTATTTACGATGATTTAGAAAAGTGGTGCTCTGACAGTGGATTATGCATTACTTCATCTCCACACATTTTATTCTTAGAGAATCCGTAAGCCCACTTGACAATAAATGGGAGATTATCCAAGTTCAAAATAAATCAGACTTTAAGCGGTTTCAGCTGGCCGATAGGATTGGTGATTGTGGTCCCGACCTAGCAATTCTCACAACAGGTATCGTCAGATGTATTACTTTTTGCTGATGATGTTAAACTTTGTAGGGAAATGTGCAACCAAAAGGATATACTGGCATTTCAGGAGGAACTAACTTGAATTTGACATTTAAAAATGTAAAGTAGTCCATCTGAGATATGTTGCAGATTACAGCTACAACTAAGGTGACCCCATCCTTAAGTACCCCAAAGGTGAAAATGATTTGTGGGTGCTGGTACCCTACGATTTGAAGTCTTACGTTAACTGTGACGAAAAAGCCTTTCAAGCAAACCTTGCACTGGTAACACTGAGGTGCACTTTTCGCCTGTTTGACGGAAGAACTCTCCATATAATCTTTAACATTTTAATTCATCCTCATTTAGAGTACGGAAACATAGTATTCCCTCCCTCACTCTAAAAGTGTGAGGAAACTCTGGAACATATCCAACGGCGAGTCACGAAGTTACGTCGGGAACTCATATTTAAGCCTTATGAGGAGCGCGTCCGATCACCAAACATTTACCTCTGAGAGTACAGATGTCTTAGAGGTGACCTTTTAACAACTTACAGAATACTAAATACTTCTGGACAGCCGCTTAAACACCTATTTAAGCTCAGTTTCAGCACGAACCTTGGAGGTTAGACCTAGAAACTGGAGACAAAACAGAGCAAGACGGATTGTAGGCACACCTTCTACTCCCTAAGAGTAGTCGAATGATGGAAGTCGCTGCCAGCTGAGTTAGTTCAAGCGACTACCCGGTAGTCCTTTAAGAGAAAACTTGACATATTCTTAAAGACTAAGGACAATATCTCACTATGATTCAACAACTTTTTTCTTTTCCCCCATTTATCGTTTATGTACCTACGTCTCTGTCTGGAGCTACTAGACACGGAATGTTGTTAAGCGAAATCTATTACGTCCACAACCACTTGCACTATTTGAACTAGTGATTTTGATCCATCAAGTTTATCAGCAAGAGATAGCTTCGCAAGCTGTTGTAGATCAAAAATTCTGTCAGGGCTAGAAGGCTTGTGGATTATTAGAGTGGCATCCACCTAGGAGTGAGTCGACGTTAGTCAATTTCCATGACTTGTTTCTCTTCCCTAATATTAATGAATAATAGAAAATTACAGTGATTTTAGTAACCACATTGTCGTTTTAACAGTTATATCTTATTTTTATGTCATATTTTAAAGATATTCGTGGCTGTAAACAGTAATTTTCTCAGAACGTTTGTTTAAAGTTGCAAGGTCTTTGATGCACTTACTGCCGTTTTTTCAAACATCCGTCAACTTCCCGTGGTTGACGGTGGTGAATCGAATATGCCGACTAGTGACTGTGATGGTGCTCTGGTATTAGAAGATGGTTCGGTATTCAATGGCTTCTTGCATGGTGCTAAGATTCCTCAGTCTGGGGAGGTGGTTTTTCAGACAGGAATGGTGGGTTATGTAGAATCTTTGACCGACCCATCATACCATTCCCAGCTACTGGTACTAACATATCCATCCATCGGTAAGCCGTCTTGACGTTTTCATCTTTCAGGTAATTATGGTGTTCCGTCGCCGAACGATGTTGATGAATACGGTTTGCCTAGATGGTTTGAATCAAGTCAAATATATGCTAAAGGGCTAATTGTTTCTGAATTGTGTGAAGAGTTTTCTCACTTTTCAGCAGTGAAATCACTTAGTCATTGGTTATATGAAAGTGGTGTTACGTGTATAAGTGGAATCGATACGCGATCTCTAACCCTAAAGCTTAGACAACATGGTATTTTGACTTTTATTACTCGCTTGATTGTTCTAGGTACGCTTCTGGGAAAAATTATTCCCCATTCACTTCATCCAGAAACATTGGATTGGATTGATCCTGCTAAAAATAATTTGGTTTCGGAAGTAAGCAGAACTGATATCAAAGTTTTCAACGCTCATGGTGATGTTCATATCGCTGCACTAGATTGCGGGATGAAGTTTAATCAAATACGTTGTTTTGTTAGGAGAGGTGCAAAGGTAAGACTGTATTACGTTTGTGTCAAAGCCTATGCTTCTGTCCTGCATCGGCTGAGTTTTGTGTGAAGACATTTCATATTTTAAGGTGTTTTGACGTCAAATGATTTATCTTTAGCAACTGTGGAGATAATGTAGCTCACTTTTATATGATGATGTCAATTCATTGAAATTGGGGAACGAAGAGTATTTAATAGTGCTACATCAGCATTTCTCACACTGACAACGTACATAAACCAACTAGTGTTTGCAGTGTCATGTATCCACTGCTCAATCAGTTTCTAATTGTTCTAGTTCTTTTCGTAGTTTTCGTTAGGTACTAGCATTTGTATTTAAAGCTGTTTCACTTAAAAAGTCGTTATATAACGTCAGATCTAATTAAAACTTTTGTTATAAATATTTTATCGTCTAAAAGTATTTTGTTATCTCTATTCGATAATTTATTTTAGGTGACGGTTTTGCCGTGGTCAACTGACTTGACTAAAACCGAAACAAATTATGATGCACTATTTATTAGTAATGGTCCTGGAGACCCTATTCAGTGCAGTGGTATTATTGACCAAATTCGAGGATGGATGACCAAAAAAAAACCTCTATTCGGCATTTGCTTAGGTCACCAGTTAGTTGCTTTAGCATGTGGCTTCAAAACATACAAAATGAAATATGGAAATAGAGGTCACAACCAACCGTGTGTTCACTTGCCTACTGGACGCTGTTTTATAACCAGTCAGGTAAAATAATTTTTAAATGTGTACAGTTTTGTTTTGTTTTAGAAAGTCCTCCAGTTAAAAACATTCAGTTGTAAGGTAAAGTCTCATGGCAAATTATGTCCCCCCTTATCTTATACTTCATTTAATGATCTGATAAAAGTAGCCATCCTTCTCAATCGTTTGAGTGATCTGTCTAATTATCTAACCATATGGGAGGGTTCTCATAAAAATGCTGTTCTTGTCTTGGAAATTTTATAATGTTCGGACTTCATGAGCAGTTTTTTATCAATGGTTGGTATTGTATGGTCCATTTACGGAATGAAGTAGTTATAATAACCATAGAAACTGCCGAATTTGTTGAGGCTGATCTACACATACAAGGTGTTCTTTGGTCAAGTTTTAATAAATGTTGCATATAACGTTAAAATTGTTCACCTTTTAAACCATATTTGCAAATTACCCACACCAATAAGATAAAGTTATACATATGCTTAATACTTTATTAAAAAAATCAGACTATTAGATACGCCAAAATTACGCAATATGATTATAGTGCAGAAAGTCAACACTTAAAAATCTTCTATATCTTGAAAATTGTATTTCATATAATCGATTTCACCAAGTGCTATGTAAACAAACTGAACAGTCAATTAAGGCCTTATAAGCTAAACTACATCTCTATATATGCTTGGAATAAAGCCCAACTATTATAAGCTGACCCACTAAAATAAAATGCGATCAACTGACCAACTAGCACATGCTCTAACGGTCAAATCATGCTTTCATCGTACAAAGTAGAAGTCAATTTTGGCTACAGTAAAATAGCGATATTCTACATAGTTTTGTCAACCACCGCTGAATAACTATGTAAGTGCTAGACATGGAATTCTGGTCTTAAACAACATACAGATTTTTAGTAAATGTCAAACAAAGATAACACGTTCCTTGAGAATCTAGAGTTTATATGATCTAAAGTTTATATCTTTTTGATTAACACATTTTGACTCAACTGAATCAAGGTGTAAACAAAATAATTTTCAACCTGTATATATTTATAGACGATAGCCGGACAAGTTGCAATTTCCATGAGTATTTCAATGACTTAAGTGATAAACTAAGTATTTCTGAACAACTTTTAGTTAGAAAAGAACCAATCCTGTCGTTAAAGTGATCTGGTATGGACGTAACTGGTTGGACATTAACCCTCTTAATACCTAACATAAAAGTACTGGAGTTGAGTTATTCAAGTTACTTTGACGTCTCGTTTCCAGCAGACGACTACTGTACTACTATACTAACTAGATTTAGTTAAATCAAATAATTATCTGGTTTCGGTTAGCCTGATAAAATACAGTGATGTCATTTTATCTTGTAGTATATTTATTATTCTTTCCATAGCTAAGCTTACTGTTGAGTTATTTTTTCTTCCCAAAGAATCATGGATATGCAGTTGACACTAAAAATATCCCGGATGGCTGGTATGAATTGTTTCGGAATAAAAATGACTGGTCAAATGAAGGTCTTGCTCATTACACTCATCCATGGATGACTGTTCAATTTCATCCTGAACACATGGCTGGACCAAACGACCTGGAGTTTTTGTTTGATGTTTTCCTAAGTTACGTAAGTTAATTAGCCTAACTTTTTGAAAAACGTAAATGGTTTTAGCAATCCTGTTGTATTTTCAACAGGACTATTGTTCAGATTTATCCCCTTTGCTTCACTTTTTATAGATCCGATCATCTGGTGGACAGAGTCTAAGTGATCATCTAACGAGACACATTTCCTATGACCAGGAGAAATTTGAAAGAGTGCTTTGCAGCAAAGACAATAAACCAAGAAAGGTTTTGCTTCTAGGTTCTGGCGGGTTATCAATTGGTCAGGCTGGGGAATTTGACTATTCTGGTAGTCAGGCTCTTAAGGCCCTTCGAGAAGAAGGTGTTCAAACGTTACTGATCAATTCAAACATTGCAACTGTACAGACGACCGAAGGAATGGCTGATAAGGTAAGGCTTTATGGAATAAGTTTTCATTCTCTTCTTCAAATGTTATTAGTTAGTTGCTTACAATCAAACTAGCTCTGATGGTTCTGAAAATTCATGTACTAGTTTTATCTGGTAGTTTCTATGTGAGCAATTTGGCATGTAACCAACATTAACTGTAGCTGTACGGTTGCAAAACGAGTCGATTTGTTTAACTATTAAAATACCGACCATAATTACTCGTCTTGTAATTGATTGTTATCTAAAGATATTAATCAGTCCCTACTATATTTAAAGTCAATTTTTATGCTAAGTCTTATCTATTATTTATTTATTTTAACACATAGATATTGGTACAAGGAGTCACCAAATACATATACGCCACACTGATCTCATTTGATATGTGTGAGGGCTGTAATACTGCCCGGGTGCGCAAACCGAAGCAGGTGGTTTTCTTAGAGGGCCACACCCCAAGCCTTTGACCTCAAGATCTGATCCACAAGGCAGTGGAGCATCGTAAGGAGATGCAGTCCCATGGTAGCCGGTGACCAACGATTGGTTCATACGCCATTTGTTCCTTCAGGCAGGATACTGGAGCCCATGTGCACCATTGGTTTGGAATCCGGTTATAGCGCCGGACATTCGCTTTTCGTCCTCTCATTTTCGTAAACAACAGTAATGCCACGAGAAGACAGTGAGTAGGACTTCCTTGGCATAGGCTATATACGCATGGCCATGTGAGAGCATTTCGAGAGGGAGAGCGGACTCCCACTGTCGGCCGTACCAGGGCATTTGGGGGTATGCTAAATCTTATCTCTTACCTTAAATGTATTCGGTAGAAAAGTTTTTTTAAGACTTTAAGAGACTTGGCACCATGTTCTTGTATATTCATGGAAACCAGAATTGCTCATTTACACGTGTCTCTAATTTTGCAACGGTCTTTCCTATCAGTAGTAAAATGACGATGATCTGTTCTGATCTATTTTATGACGCCTTCATGAACAGAAAAATCACTTCGTAAGCAGGTGGAAAAAGATATTGACAAGAAGTGTTGTATGGTGTTTTCCGAAAATTTTCCGGTTTGTCGTGACCTATCAGTTATAGAAATGTTAATGGTGAGCAGTAGGAATTTCGTCATATTACGTCGTTTCATTGTCAATTTAAACTTTTCCCAGTTATAATTAAATAAACGTATAACATGTTTTTTATTACCTTGAACCATTATAGATATTTTTACTTCCAATTGCACCAGATTCTGTTGCCCGCGTTATAAAAGCTGAGCGTCCGGATGGTCTTCTAATAGCTTTCGGTGGCCAAACTAGCTTGTCATGTGGTCTCGCTTTGACAAAAGTTAGGTCAAGTTCCTTAATTTCGGATCTTAAAGGTGAAGATTCAAAGGCATCAAATGTGTTGGATTTATATAATTGTCGAATTTTGGGTACTTCCATATCTACCGTTGAAATAACAGAAGATAGAGAACTATTTGCAACAGCTATGCGAGCTATAGGAGAAAAAGTTGCTCCGGCAAATGCAGCGACCTCTGTACAGGTGTGTCAGTGTTTTGATGTTCTCATTAGTTTGAACCATTTTTTTAAAGTAAGATAGACACCAAAACATATGCTTCATTCATTAGTTGACAAGGAATGATTACCATCTATAATATTTGTAGGATGCGGTCAAAGTTGCAAATGATCTTGGTTATCCTGTACTTGTACGTGCAGCTTTCGCATTAGGAGGAATGGGGTCAGGGTTTGCTGAAAACGCTACTGAACTAGAACGACTGGCTGGTAAAGCTTTGGCTCAGACGACTCAAATTTTCATCGACAAATCCTTAAAGGGATGGAAAGAAGTTGAGTATGAGGTTAGTTTTTATTAAAATATTACTAATCATACTGTAATATCAGTAAACTTATACTGAGTTACATCCGTTCCTACTGTATGATATTCTAACTAACATTCTTTATTTAGGTTATACGTGATGCTTATGACAACTGCATTACAGTCTGTAATATGGAAAATGTCGATCCTGTAGGCATTCACACTGGGGAATCTATTGTTGTATCACCAAGTCAAACACTCTCAAATGTTGAGTATTATATGTTACGATCTGTTGCAATTAAAGTAAGTCTTTTTTTCATTAGTCCTTAACCCAATATGCTAATATGCTTCACCATAGCTTAATTAATATTCTTTGTCATTAGACCCTTTAGTTCTTCTTCGTATTGCTATTCTATGCATCATGATTGGTTCATATATCTCTTGGTTGTAGTGATCAATAATACCATTTATGTGATTTGCTTGTACATATTTCGATTTTGAATTTTAGGTTGCTCGTCATCTGCGGATTGTTGGTGAGTGCAATATTCAGTTTGCGTTAGACCCACATTCTTTGAACTATTACATCATTGAAGTAAATGCCCGACTGTCTAGAAGCTCTGCGCTCGCTAGTAAAGCCACTGGTTATCCTATAGCCTATATAGCTGCTAAACTTAGCCTGGGCAGGAGTCTCCCAGAACTTACAAACAGTGTAACTGGTGGTCTCACCACAGCATGTTTCGAACCTAGTTTAGATTACTGTGTTGTGAAAGTCCCTCGCTGGGATTTAGCAAAGTTTTCCAGGGTAAGTTCAATTGTTATCCTTGTGACTGTTGTTTATTCGTAATAAGCAAATAATTTTTTCCATTCTTGTTTCTGAATAATCACTATTTTAGCTGCTGTTCGCCAAGTTATTCGATTTTCTGAACTCTTTGATTTTAAATTTAGCTTTGAATGAAAACAACTTTCACTTATCGATAAATATTATTAGCAGTTCTCATCAAAAGTTATGACACTACCTGTTAATATAAACTTAAAATAGTTAAATTAAACAAGTTTTTTTGTACTTAAACATTTTATTCAATAACAAAATTATACCCTGTTCTTTTGGAGAAGTTTAGACTTCTATCTCTTGCTAGCTAGTAGGGGAGAAGATAATGGGAAGCGATCTCGTTTATTATCACTGATTTCACAGTTAGAAATTATCAGCTTGGTGCACAGATTTGTCAATCTTCTTTGACTGATAACTTCTATCATACAGTTGCTGAAAATATTAAGTATATATAAACTCAATGATTAGTTCAGCGTTTGACTTATCTCATCACTGACTTATTCCCTAATACGGTCGAAGATGGGGAGAGTCAGCTCTCCCTCTCGAAATACTCTCAAGTGGCCACGCGTATACAACCTCTGTCAGGGGAGTCCTACTCACTGCCTTCTCGTGGCGGGGGTGTTGTTTACGAAAGTGAGAGGACGAAAAGCGAATGTCTGGCACCTTAACCAGATTGGTGGACACGGATGATACACCTAAGGAAGTTGGAAAACCCTGATTCCAAATCAATGGTGCACATGAGCTCCAGTATCTTGAAGGAACAAATAGAGTATGAACATATTGTTGGTAACCGGCTACCATGGAACTGCATCTCTCAACATTGCGACATTGCCTTGTGGATTAGACCTTTAAGTCAGAAGCTTCGGGTGCGGCTCCCTAAGAAAAACACCTGCTTCGGTTTGAGCACCCGGGCAGTTTCAAAGCCCACACACAAATAAAATGACGATTAGTAGTGGAAATATTATTCTTGTTTCAGTTTAAATTCATTTGGTAATATTCACTTTTATTTTTTCTATCTACTACGTCTATTCTCTTCTATTCTCACAGTGTATTCTTATTTTTAAACGTATACAGCAACTCATCTATAGTGTAAACCCTATTCTATCTAAACGATCTCGAGTCACTCACTGGTCAAAAGTTGAATGCTACCATGGACTACGAATCCCATTCAAACTGGCTTTCTTCAACGTCCTCACACTAATGCAGTTCGGACAACAGATAGGGTTGGCCAAGTTTTTAGAAAGTCTTAATATTGATGTTTGTTGTCTATCCGAAACCCGTATTCAATACACTAGTAAAGTACTGCGAATTCATTATTCATCTATCACTTTGAAAAGCTTGTTTTATGTGCGTTTATCCGGGGACCCTGTAGCATCTTCGTTCAGTTTTGCTGGCGTTGGTGTCGCACTAAGCGCTAGGGCTGAGGCAGCACTGATCGATTGGGTGACCACTAACAGTCGATTATGTGCTGTTATATTGGCAAGTTCTATCAAAGTGCGAAGAAATCGATGTGAGAAACGGTGTCTTTTCGTTATCTCCGCCTATGCTCCGACAGATTTCAGCCCGTATGTTATCAAGTATGAGTCCTACTGCCAAGTAAGTGTTCGTTTACACAAAGTGCGTTAAACAGATATTGTGGTACTGGCAGGAGACTTGACTGTTCAAGTTGGCGTCTAGGCACAGAAGAAAACTGTTTAGGTGGCCAATGAGGTCTTGTTGGTCGCAGTTCAGGTGACGGTGACCGTCTACTGCAACTTTGCGCAGACTACAACCTGTTTCTGGTTAACACTAACTACCGGAACAGTCGTCGCCGATGTGCCACCTGGTGTCCTCCCTCTGCACCTCAAGTCTGGACTCAGATCGATCACATTGCGATTAGCTACCGCTGACATGGTTATGTACAAGACTGCCACTTCTTTTAGAGTACATGTCTGGATTGTCATCATGCCATGTTAGCATTAATCTTACCTTACGTTTCAGTGGCCAACAAATCCATCATCCTAAACGGGTCGATGTCAGTAAATTGATCGCAGCTCCTGTTGCAACTAAATATCAAACCAAGCTAGGTTCAAGGCTAGCTAACATCTCACCGAAATTTATAGATGAACATTGGTTGCAGTCACTCAGCTAAAACGCTGGAACAGGCACATATATGCATCGGTCCAAGTTGCCATACCTCATTAGCACAGCAAGATGAACACCGGATTCACAGAAGTGGTTAATTCATTGGTGGTGATATATAAAAGAAAGATTGTGTATAAGGATATATTACAGGAAGAAAAAATTAGTTCGTAGAAAGAAAGATATAAAGCAATTTTAATCTCATAGTTTAAAGGAAGACAGAGAGTGTATACACCGACGCCATTGTGATCGATTCTGAGCCATGTCACCAAGAGTCTCCAACCATTAGTTACGGTAGTCACGTGGACCCCAACCAAGTAGTCTGCGTCTACCAACATGGCTAAGACTAGAAGTTAGTGACTTCAAGGAATGACGACATATTTTGGTTTGGCCACCCCTAACTTTCTTCCAATCATCTCCGACACTAGTCAGCATTGCGCGTCGTGGTAATCGTGTTCGGGCATACGCAACACGTGGCCCAACTATCTCAGTCGATGAAGATTCACAACCTCAATAACTCATTTATAATCATTCCCTAATACTCTTAATCTAACCTCACTATTGCTTACCCGGTGATCCCAGCAGATGCGAGCAATATTTCTAAGACATTTTTGATAAAATACTAGCAACTTACAAGTATCTTCTACTCCTAATGACCACGTTTCGCAGCCGTAAAGTGAAACAGGACGAACTGCTACTCGTCCCCTAATTGATAGATGCATATCTCGTCTTCTCCATAGGTGACGTAAGTTGGCAAAAGTCAAACGAGCCTTTCGAATTCGTGTATATATTTCGTCTGACACCAACCCATTAGGTCTGACCAGACCTCTGAGGTAAGTGAAGTTATCTACGCGTTCGAAGAGCAGTTCAACTGCTCTGCTTCGCTGGCAACATCGATCAGACTGTCCTGCTTTCCATAACCCGTCACAAATGACCCACCTAACGAGGCGGAAGTTCGCAAAAAACTAAACTGTTGAAGCGCTACAAATCACCAGACTCAAATGACTTACCTCCGGTTTTTTTTTAAGATGGTGGTGACTTTCTGGTTAAGGAACTGACTAGGTTGTTTAAAAAGGGTTTGACAGTTAGAGGGTGTTCCAGCATCATGAGATGAGCTGATAGCTGTTCCTATCTATAAAAAGGGTTCACGTCGTCCCTGTAATAACTATCGGTGGATAAGTCTACTTTTGATTGCGTCCAAACTATTTGCTTCAGTCATAATTCGTAATCGTTCCAAACCCGAGAAAGATTGACTCACGAGTAGCAGGCTCGTTTTCGTACTGGTCGAGGATATATTGATCTTATCTGCACCCCCTGTCAAGTGGTAAAACGCCGTCATACTTATCATAGGCCAATAATCGTAGTGTTTCGCGACATTAGTGCCGCGTTCGGCTCGTTGGACAGGACTGTTCCCTGGGATTGTCCACTGAAGAAGTGTGTGGCCCAGAAGTTTATTAACGTTCTAAAAGCCCTATATACAAACATATCAGGCGGAAAAATGGCATACAATCACCTCTCCCGATTGTTTCATTTAAGCAGTGGGGTTAGACAGGGCTACCCAATCTCACCATTCCTCTTCAACTTGGCTACCGTTGACGTTCTGCGGAGAGCTCTGATAGATGTTGATAGTGATGGTGTGGATCTATTACCTGGAGAAAGACTTCTCGACCTTGATCATGCATATGATATTGTCTTACTGTGCGATGATACCCAAGCCATGCAAACTGCATCTAATCAGTTGGCAATTAGTGTCCGTTGGCATAATATATGCTTTGCACCTTCGAAATACAACGTACTTTTACAAGACTGTCAAGACCCTGATCATGCACTCACCTAGGTAGTGAGCCGATAGAAGTAGTCAAGAATTTCGTGTATCTGTGTAGCTGTATAAGTGCTGGTAGTGGCGTAAGTGACAAGATCAATTCACGCACAGCGAAAGCCAGAGTGGCTTATGTCCTGCTGTAACTTATTTTTACTATCTTCATAAAAAATGGACGTAAGTTCCTTAACTGGAAGAATTCTTTCTGGTTGTACCTTTACTAACTGAACTATGTCTCCCACTATTATTATTTCACTACCACACTAATTTCTGTTCGTTATTATTCTCCTTTTTCTTATACCCACTTTACATTCTCATTGTTATTATGTGGCACATATGTATTTGTTGCCCCTTTGTACCTATATTTATGTGTTCAAATGAATAAATAAAATAATTAACTTATAATCGCCTTCAGAATATTGTTTGGTATTATGTTTCTTGATGTAAACTCATTGGTTTGAAGTGTTTAAGATGACTAATAGTACTAATAAATGTTACACAAATAAAACAAGTTCGACATATTTGTAGTAGTGAAAATAAACATTTTATTGCTCAAAGTTTAATTTTTCTGTGGTAATTGAATATACTTGGATAGTGGGGATCGATGAATAAACCAAAGTAATTGAATAGGCGTGTATTCTTTAAACGTCTCACAAATGTTAATTTGCTGTTGTTTCTTACTATTCACAAGTACATCTGATACAAAACTTCTAGCAGCTGTGTTGAATTGAGTAGTTGTTAGGAATGTACAGATGGATTTTCACAAAAAAACATGTTTTAAAAATTTATTTCAAGGTGAGTCGCAAAATTGGCAGCTCCATGAAAAGTGTTGGTGAAGTAATGGCAATAGCACGCTGTTTTGAAGAGGCCTTGCAAAAATCTCTTAGAATGACGAACGAAAGTGTCTCTGGATTTGATGGCTCACTCGAAGTTCCTGATGAAGATGATTTATCTGATCCTACAGATGTACGAATCTACAAATTATCTGCAGCACTACGATCCGGCTGGTCAGTCGAACGTCTTCACGCGCTTACTTCCATAGATCCATGGTTTCTATATCGTATGCGCTCCATTGTTAACTGTGCAAAAGAGTTAGAATCGGTAAGATTAGTATCATTTAGTTGTTGATATCTAAAAATATTTTAGTGCAATAAATTTTTATGTTAACCATAGAGGGTAGCATTGAAACAATGAATACTTTCGCATAGCTTTTTACCTCATTAAGAGTTTAGGTAGCATCACTCAAATAAAACCATCTGTTTATATCTACTGTCTAAAATGATTGAAACTACTATAATCTATTTATCCCTTGATTTACTTACTTACTTACGCCTGTTACTCCTCGTGAAGAAGCATAGGCCGCTCACCAGCATTCTCCATCCAACCCTGTCCTGGGCAATCCTTTCCAGCTCTTTCTAGTTCCTATTCATCCCTTTCATATCCTCTTCTATTTCCTGATGTAATGTGTTCTTTGGCCTTCCTCTTTTCCTCTTCTCTTCAGGATTCCAAGTCAGCGCTTGTCTCGTAATGCAGTTTGATGATTTCCTCAATGTATGTCCTATCCATTTCCATCGTCTTTTCCTAATTTCCTCTTCAGCTGGAAGCTGGTTGGTTCTCTCCCACAAAAGGCTGTTGCTGATGGTATCCGGCCAATGGATGTTGAGTATCTTGAGTAGACAGCTATTGATTAATACTTGTACCTTCTTGATGGTGATTGTTGTAGTTCTCCAAGTTTCAGCTCCGTACAGTAGAACTGCCTTGACGTTCGTATTGAAGATTCTGACTTTGATATTGGTTGAAAATTGTTTTGAGTTCTATATGTTCTTCAGTTGAAGGAATGCCGCTCTAGCTTTGCCAATCCTCGCCTTGACGTCTGCATCTGAACCTCCTTGTTTATCGACGATGCTTCCCAGGTATGTGAAGGATTCCACGTCTTCCAGAGTTTCGCCACCAAGAGTGATTGGATTGCTGTTCTCCGTGTTGTGTTTGAGGACCTTGGTTTTCCCTTTATGTATGTTGAGGCCTACTGATGCAGAGACTGCTGCTATGCTGGCTGTCTTTGTCTGCATTTGTTCGTGTGTATGTGATAGGAGGGCTAGGTCATCTGCGAAGTCCAAATCGTCTAATTGGTTCTGAGCTGTCCATTGTATGCCGTGGTTTCCCTCAGATGTCGAAGTCTTCATAATCCAGTCGACCACCAGAAGAAACAGGAAGGGAGAGAGTAGACAGCCTTGTCTTACTCCGGTCCTTACTTGGAATGCGTCTGTCAGCTGTCCTCCATGCACTACTTTGCACTGTAGTCCATCGTATGAGTTCCGGATAATGTTGACAATCTTCTCAGGAACTCCGTAGTGTCGAAGAAGTTTCCATAACGTCCTCCTATCTACACTGTCAAATGCCTTCTCATAATCAATGAAGTTGATGTAGAGTGACGAGTTCCACTCAATTGATTGTTCGACGATGATCCATAGTGTCGCAATCTGGTCTGTGCACGACCGGTCCTTACGGAATCCAGCTTGTTGATCTCGAAGTTGAGCGTCAACTGCGTCTTTCATCCTGTTCAGTAACACTCTGTTGAAGACTTTACCCGGCATTGACAGTAGTGTAATGCCTCTGTAATTTTCACACTTGCTCAGGTCTCCTTTCTTTAGAATTTTGATAAGGTGTCCTTCTTTCCAGTCCATCGGCACTTGTTCCTCCTTCCAAATCTTCTTGAATAGAAGATGAAGCATGCTTGTAGTTACTTCGATGTCTGACTTCAACGCTTCAGCTGGTATATTGTCAGGTCCTGCTGCTTTCCCGCTCTTGATTTGTCTGACGGCCATTCTGATTTCTTCTGTCGTTGGTGGATTGACATTTATAGGAAGATCTGTGTGTGCTGCTTCGATGTCCGGTGGATTCATTGGAGCCGGCCTGTTCAGGAGTTCCTCGAAGTACTCTGCCCATCTGTTGCGCTGTTGTCGAATCTCAGTGATTGGTCTTCCTTCTTTGTCTTTGACTGGTCTCTCTGGTTTACTGTATTTCCCTGCAAGCTTCTTCGTCCTATCGTAAAGCTGTCTCATATTTCCTTCTCTTGCAGCTTTTTCCCCCGTCGTTGCTAGTTCTTCCACGTATTTTCGCTTATCAGCTCTAATGCTCTTCTTCACTTTCTTGTTTGCTTCTATGTACTCTGCTTGTGCTTGGACTTTCTCTGCTCTTGTTCGACTGTTGTTAATTGCTGTCTTCTTGTTCTTTCTTTCTTTGGTCCTGTCCAGTGTTTCTGTAGAGATCCATTCCTTGTGATGATGCTTCTTGGGGCCCAGAACCTCTTGACATGTTGAAGTTAATGTTTCTTTGATACCTTTCCAGCTATCCTCCATAGTAGTTTCTTCTTCCTTCAGTAGATCCTGTAAGGCTTGGAACCTGTTGTTGAGAGCTACCTTGAATTCATTGAGTTTGTCAGTATCTCGAAGGAAGGCTGTATTGAACCTTTGTGGTGCTGTTTGTCCAGTTGTCCAGTTCTTCTTTAGCTTCAGTTTCAATTTGGCCACAACCAGGTGATGATCTGAAGCTATGTCCGCTCCTCTCCTGGTTTTCACATCTTCCATTGTCCTTCGGAACTTTTTATTGATGCAAATGTGATCTATCTGGTTCTCTGTGGCGTGGTCCGGTGAGATCCATGTAGCTTTGTGTATACGTTTGTGTGGAAATGTTGTACCGCCTATGACCAATTTATTGAATGCACACAGATTTGCAAATCTTTCCCCGTTTTCGTTTCTCTCTGCCAGTCCATGTAGTCCCATGATGTCTTCATATCCGGTGTTGTCCAATCCGACTTTGGCGTTTAGATCTCCCATCAGAATGGTGAGGTCCTTTCTTGGGCACTTCTCTATGATTGATTGCAGCCTCTCATAGAATTGATCTTTAACGTCGTCGTTGCTATCATTGGTGGGTGCATAACATTGGATGATGTTCATTGTGATCCCCTCCTTCTTTGTTTTGAATGATGCTTTGATGATTCTGGATCCGTGAGATTCCCATCCTACAAGTGCATTTCGTGCTACTTTGGACAGCATTAGAGCAACTCCCTGAGTGTGTGGAGCATTTTCCTCTTCGTGACCGGAGTATAGCAGCATCTCTCCCGTATTTAGCCTTTGTTGTCCAGCTTGGGTCCAATGGGTTTCACTGATTCCCAGTACTGCCAAGTTGTATCTCCTCATTTCCGTTGCTATTTGACTGGTCTTCCCGTTCTCCCACATTGTCCGGACGTTCCATGTACCTATAAAACTTGTTGCTGTGGTTGTTAGAAGGGGCATCGGCCTCGTGGCTTCCGAAGGAACTCGGCTTTCACCATGAAGCGTCATATTTCCTCTAACTCCCACGGCAGAGTTTAAATGGTTTGAGTTATTTTTTCTGGTTAGCGTTTTTTTAGCGAGTTAGGTTTCTACGGGATGGGGACGCTAACCCCATGCCCAACCCTCCTCCTTTACCCGGGCTTGGGACCGGCAGTAACTCTGGAAGAGCTACAGGCGGAGTTTTATCCCTTGATGGTTTATTAAATTAAACATACTTGTTCTCTTCAGTCAGTGCAACATTACTTCTGAGATTACTATCGTTTTACTAATATATTTATATCAATAGTGGAGGAAATTTTTAATTTATAATAAAACCGATTTAGTACTGTTAAATCCATCACATCTAGTGGTTCAAAGTTCAAAATTGTACTTAAACACTCAGATAAAATCAATCAATTGTTATTCTGTTTTCTGACGTATCTAACTTTTTGGTAATATATATTCATTATATGTATTATAATTTATTTTAACTGTAAGTATACATTTTTTAGGTATGTACAATAACTAATTGGTTCATCTATCACATTTACATCAAGCTTCCCGTCGTTGCATGGCAACACAGTACATTTGATTTAGTAATGAAGATATGTAAACACTCACTTCGTGAATGCTCAAATAGGTTAGGGTTGCGTAGTACTATTTTTATGTTTGTATAGTCATTTAATTGTAACATCCGAACTCAGTAAAACGTATGCATAAAATAAATCGTCTGTCAAACTTTATGATACTAGTTTTGTTTTTCAGTTTTTTTGGCAAGAATTAGATCACTGTGAATCAAGTTTATTTATTTATTTATTTATTTATTTGAACACATGAATATTGGTACAGGGTGGCACCAAATATATATGCGCCACACAAAACAATGATAATTTGAAGAGAAGGAGAAATATATATATATATATATATATATATATATATATAAAGTAATGAACGTGGGGAATTATAAAAAAAAAGAGGGAGAGAACAATGATGGGGAAAACAGAAAGGTACAATCAGAAGAAATCTTTCAGTTAAGGAAGATACAACCACTTTTTATGAAGAAAGTAAAAGAAGGTTACAGCAGGATCGCCACTGGCTTCTATTCTGAGCCATATCTGATAACGTCTCTAGCCACTGCGTTACACCGTCTCTCGGACCCCAGCCAGGGAGTCGTGAAGGACCAACAGAAGCTAGCCCTTTGCAGCTTTCTTTCATACCACGACACCATGTCATATACTGACCACCTCTCCGCTTTTTCCAACCAGTCCCAGAGTCGGCAAATGATGCACGACGAGGAATTCTCTGGGACGACATTCGTAGAACATGTCCAAGCCACCGAAGTCGGTGTTTCAAGATGGTGACGCCAATTTCATTATCGTCTCTGTGACCGAACACACGATGCCGGACCTCTGCATTACTGACATGGTGTTGCCACTGGATGCCAGCAATCCTTCGGAGACAACGATGATCGAACACAGAGAGTCGTCTAACATCTTCAACTCGGAGAGGCCAGGTTTCACAAGCGTAGAGCAAAACTGCTCTCACCGTCGCGTTGTAGATCCGACCTTTTACAGCCAGACCAACATCACGAAGGCGCCAAAGATGGCCCAGATTGGCATAAGCCGCTCTGGCTTTCACTATACGTGCATTGATCTCATCACTCACGCCCCCACCAGCACTTATGCAGCTACCCAGATACACGAACTTCTCGACCACTCCTATCTGCTCACCGTCCAGAGTGAGTACAGGATTAGAATCCTGCCAGTCTTGTAGGAGTACTTTGCACTTCGAAGGTGCGAAGCACATACCATACCTACGGACATTGATTGCCAACTGATTAAGTGCGGATTGCATGGCTAGGGCATTCTCGCACAGTAAGACAATATCATCCGCATACTCAAGGTCGAGAAGTCTTTCTCCAGGCAACAGATCCACGCCACCATTACTTACATCCGCCAGAGCTGTTTCCAGAATGTCATCGATGGCAAAGTTGAAGAGGAATGGTGAGATTGGGCAACCCTGCCTAACTCCACTGCTTGAATGGAATAGTGGAGAAAGGTAGTTGTATGCCCTTACTCTGCCTGAGGTGTTTGTGTATAGGGCTTTTAGGATGTTAATAAACTTCTCAGGCACACCCTTCTTCAATAGACAATCCCAGAGAACAGTTCTGTCCAACGAATCGAAGGCAGCCCTGATATCAAGAAACACTACGATTTTTGGCCTTTGATAAGTATGGTGGTGTTCTAACACTTGGCGGAGGGTGAAGATATGATCAATACATCCTCGACCAGAACGAAACCCAGCCTGCTCCTCGCGAGTCAATCCTTCTCGGGTTTTGAACAACCTACGAAGTATGACGGAAGCCAATAGCTTGGACGCAATCGGAAGTATACTTATCCCCCGATAGTTGTTACAGGAACGACGTGAACCCTTTTTAAAGATAGGGACAACTATCGACTCATTCCATAAGGTTGGTACACACTCTAGTTCCCAGACCTTTGTAAACAACGTCGTCAGTCCCTTAGTCAGAAAGTCACCACCATCTTTAAAAAGAGCCGGAGGTAAGTCGTCTGGGCCCGGTGATTTGTAACGTTTCAAGAGTTGGAGTTCCTTGCGGACTTCCGCCTCATTTGGTGGATCAGTCGTCACCGGCCATGGAGGGCAGGACAGTCTGACCGATGTTGCCGGAGCAGCAGGCCAGTTGAACTGCCCTTCGAAAATTCTGCCCATCGTCCAAGACGTCGATGGATGTTAGTGATTGGCGTTCCGTCATCTTCGCAGATTGTTTCGCTCACACCAGACTTCTTGCTGCCAGTGGCTCGGATGAGTTGGAAGAGCTTCCGGTAATTACCAGATGCAGCTGCTGCTTCCAGCTCATTAGCACGCTCCGACCACCAGGCTTCACGGTCCTTACGCAAGCTTTGCCCGATTTCATTACGTAAATTCCTTCGTCTGTGGTCAAACTCACGGTCACCTGGAGTAGACCGACGGGCTTCAATCAGTTGTAAGGAACCAGAAGAAACCCAGTGCTTGTAAGCGGGACGTTTCGCGAACCCACAACAGACTTGACCCGCCATTTTCATGGCGTCATGCAATTGCAACCAATGCTCATCTATACTTTTCGGTGGAATGGTAGCTAGCCTAGAAGCTAGCTCGGTTCGGTACTTACTAGCAACAGAAGTTGCAGCCAACTTGCTAACATCAATCCTTTGGTGGCGGTCACTTCGTTGTCCACTGAAAAGTAAGGTAAGATTGGCGCAGACCAGAGCATGATCAGATTCCAGATAGGTGCTCCAAAAGGAGCGGCAGTCTTGTACACAACCACGCCAGCGGTAGCTGATCGCGATGTGATCAATCTGAGTCCAGGCTAGAGATGCAGAAGGAGGATGCCAGGTGGCACATCGGCGATGACTGTGCCGAAAGTTAGTGCTAGCCAGAAACAGGTTGTGGTCTGTGCATAGTTGCAGTAGACGTTCCCCTTATCTGTCCTGCGACCAACGAGTCCCCATCGGCCACCTAAACGACTCTCTTCTGTGCCTAGACGCTCGACCTGAGCATTCAAGTCTCCAGCTAGCACTACAATATCTGTTGAACGCACTTTCTGGAGAAGAACAGTTAGCTGGTGGTAGAACTCGTCCTTGATTGCATCCGGGCTGCAATCTGTCGGGGCATAGGCGGAGATGTCGAAAAGACATCGTTTCTCACGCGGATTTCTTCTCACTTTGATGGAACTTTCTAATCTAACAGCACATAACCGACTGTTAATGGGGATCCAGTCGACTAGTGCTGCCTCAGCTCTAGCGCTTAGTGCGACACCAACGCCAGCAAGACCAGACGAAGATGCCACAGGGTCCCCGGATAAACGCACATAAAACAAGCTTTTTGAAGTGACAGATGGAGAGCGAACTTGTAGTACTTCACCAGAGTCTTGAATACGGGTCTCGGATAGACAACAAACATCAATATTAAGACTTTCCAAAGACATAGCCAGCCCTATCTGTTGTCCGACCTGCATAAACGTGCGAACGTTGAAGGCAGCCAGTTTGAATGGTGCACGTGGTTTCAGAAAAACTGCTTCAGTACTCATATTCGGTGGTAACATACAATTTTCAACCAGGCAGTGACTCGAGAACGTTTAGATAAAGCTGAATTTTCACCATAGGCGAGCTGCTGTCTAGGTCGAAACGGATACATAAGGTAGGTATAAGAGAGGGTGAATAAATGACGTGGTAAAATAATAATAATAATAATAATAGTATGAGTCATTTCAATGTTAATTAGAGAGAAGGGAATATTTTCCATAAGCAAATAGTTCATCATGATTTTAGTGCGTGGGCTGAGATACTGCCCGTGTGCCCAAACCGAAGCAAGTGGTTTTCTTAGGGGGCCACACCCCGAGCCTTTGACCTAAAGGTCTAGTCCACAAGGCAGTGGAGCATCGTGAGGAGATGCAGTCCCATGGTAGCCGGTGACCAACGATTGGTTCATACGCCATTTGTTCCTTCAGGCAGGATACTGGAGCTCATGTGCACCATTGGTTTGGAATCCGGTTATAGCGCCGGACATTCGCTTTTCGTCCTCTCATTTTCGTAGACAACAGTAATGCCACGAGACGGCAGTGAGTAGGACTTCCTTGGCAGAGGCTGTATACGCGTGGCCGTGTGAGAGTATTTCGAGAGGGAGGGCGAACCCTCCCCACTCTCGGCCATACCAGGGCATTTGGGGGCGTGAATCAAGTTAAAATATACCAGCCATTTTGTCACTCAGTAATGTAATCATCATATACTTTTATCGGACTATTAATAAATCTACATTGTCTTAAATTTGGGATTTCCCTATCATCCTATTACTTTATAAACCATAAAATGTTAAATTATACTCAATGTAACATAAATCTTGAATGTTCTGTTGAAATAATAATTATTTGCTTTTTTATCAACACTTTAAGTAAACCTATGTCTTGTATTTTACTTGCGATTCCTATAACCTTTAACTTTTAGCTACATGACGGGGCTCTCGCAAATGCTATGAAGTTATTAGAATGTATACCAACAACCGTTCCAGACAACAGCTCCTTTCATACTTTGGTGCGACATGCTGAAAAAGTGATGGTTGCTAAAAGGCTTGGTTTCAGTGATGTCCAGTTAGCTCGTGCTTTACGTTCGACTTCAGTCATGGTTCGTTGGTTTCGTAAACACCTTAACTTAAAACCACTGATCCGCTTAGTCGACACTGTGGCAGGAGAATGGCCTGCAACTACAAATTATCTTTACACAACTTATGCAGATATTGCATTAGGAAATATTCAACATTTACTCAAATCTTTCGATGACTGTCAAACCGAAACTTTAGTATCACAGAAAATGATAGATTTACTATTAAAGTGCATGACTGTGACCAAAATTCATGAAGTCTCACCTGAGCAAAAATGTAAGTTCATATAACTTATTCCTTAGTCGATTTCTACCTGCTGAAAATTCCATTCTAATGTTCATTGTGTGCAATAATTTATTATATTTCATTGATGAAAATAGAGAACCAATAATAACAGTGTTTTCTTTGTTTGCAGGCCAATATAACTAATATAAATTTTAGCTCCTATCTAAAGATCTCCAACATTATTTATGTACAAATCACAGTGGATAATTTCAATATTTCTACCGAGACATTGAATGCATTCATATTATCACAACGTGTGTTTAGAGCATTTTGCCTGCTTGTTATTTATAAACACCTAAATATTAAACCTATGTTTTTTAAATGTGCTACATGATTGTTGAATGTTTGATATGTTTCACCTGTTACACCCGGTGAAGCACAGGCTACTCACCAGGATTCTCCAATTAATTGACTTTGGCCATCCTTTTCAGTTGTTTCCAGTTGCTATTCATTCTTTTGATATCTGGCTCCAATTCCCATAGCAATCTCTTCCTTGGTCTCCTTCGTTTCATTTCGCCTTCAGAATTCCAAGTTGGGGCTTGCCTTGTGATGCAGTTTGGTGATTTCCGCAATGTATTTTCTACCAGTCTCTAGCGTCTTCTCCTAATTTCCTCTTCGACAGTAAGTTGTTACTGATGGTATCCGACCAATGGATTGAGAGTATCTTACGTAGATAATTCTACAAATATATGTGCCTTTATAATGATGGTTGTAGTAGTTCTCCAAGTTGCATTTGCGTACAATAGAACTGTCTTTACGTTTGTATTGAAGATTCTTTGATTCTGATTGATAGTTGTTTTGAGTCCCGTATGTCCTTCAAATGTGAGAATGTTGTCTTTGCTTCATCAATGCGTGCCTTAACATCTGCATCAGGTTGTCCCCGTTTATTGATGGTACTGACGAGGTAAGTGAAAGTTCCCACCTTTTCTAGAGCTTCTTTATCAAGTGTTATTTGGTTAGTGCCCGTTGTGTTGTATTTTAGGATCACGCTTTTTCTCTTGTGTATGTTGAGACCTACTGCTGAAGAGACTGCTGCTACATTGATTGTCTTCACCTGCATTTGTCGGTGTGTGTGTATGTGTGGGATAGAAGTTTCAGATCATCTGGGAAGTATAAGTCGTCTAGTTGCATTTATGCTGTCCACTGTATTCCGTACTTCCCCTGAGATATGGATGTCTTCATAATTTAGTCAACGACGGAAGAGAGGAAAAAGATGAGGGTAAGCAGTTTGATCTAACACCGGTATTCGCTTGCAATGCATCTATAAGTTGCCTTCCATGCACGACTTTGCATTGTAGTTCGTCATAAGGACTCCGTATAATGTTGACGATCTTCTCAGATACACCATAATGTTGAGGAAGGTTCCACAAGGTCCTCTTATCCACTCTGTCAAGTGACTTCTCATAGTCAAGGAAGTTGGTGTGTAGTGACGAATTCCATTCAATTGATTGTTCAACAATGGTCCGTAGTGTTAATAAAAATAACATATTTGTAATATCCCGATGAGTGGAAAAATTAAATTTTCGAATTTCTTGACGATTCATGGCTCAGTATAAACCACTTCTCTAGAGAATAAATAACTAACCAATAGTAATGTTACGATTTGGTCTGTACACGGCCTATCCTTACGGAATCCAGCCTGTTTATCTCGGAGTTTGTCGTCTACGGAATCTTTCGTTCGGTCCGACATGTTACCGATAGTAGTGTGATGCCCTTGTAGTTCTCATACTAGTTGAGATCTGTCTTTCGTATCTTGATGTGATATCCTTCTTTCTGGTCTGTAGGCACTTTTCCTTCTTCCCAATATGTTCTGAATAGAATGCAGAGCTTGTTTGCAGTTACTTCTATGTCTGACTTCATTGCTTTGGTTGGTATGTTGTCTGGTCCAACTGCTGCTTTCCCACTGTTGATTTGTTTGATTACCATACTGATTTATTCGATCGTTTGTGAGTTGACATCTACTGGAAGGTCTGTGTGTGCTTCTTCGAGGTCTCGTGGGTCCAGTGAGTCTGATATATTCAAGAGTTCTTCAAAGTATTCCACCCACCTGCTCCTCTGTTTCTGAATGTCAGTGACTGAGTTGCCTTTTCTGTTCTTGACTGGTCTCTCTGGAATACAACATTTCCCTGTCATTTTCTTCGTCGTTTCATATTTTTGTGGGAATATTGTGCCACCTATAACCATTTTGTTGGAGACACATGAATGTAGAAATCTCCATTTCAGTTCCTTTTTCTCAGTCAGTCCATGTCATCACATGATATCTTCATATCCGGTGTTGTCCATTCCGACTTTGGCGGTTAGGTCTCTCATCGGGATGGTCAAGTCCTTTCCTGGACACTTCTCTACGACGGACTTCAGCCTCCTATAATACTGATCTTCATCGTCGTCATTGATATTTTTGGTAGGCGCATAACAGTGGAAAACATTCATTGTGACTCCCTCCCTCTTCGTTTTGAAGAATGTTTTGATGATAGTGGATCAATGAAATTCTCATCCTATAAGTGCTTTTCGTGCTTTTTTTGGACAGCAGCAGTGCAACTCCTTGTGTGTACGGGGCACTTTCTTCTCCGTGACCAGAGTACAACAGCATCCCTCTCAAATCTAGTCTTTTTTGTCTGGCTTGGGGTCAGTGAGTTTCACTTATTTCGAGCACCACCGAGTTGTAGCTCGTCATTTTCTCAGTAATTTTACTGGTCTTGCCGGTCTTCCACATTGTTTAAACATTCCATGTATCTGTGTTAATTGTTATTGTGGTTATTTAAAGGGGCATCAGGTTCGTGGCTTCCTAGGAATCTGGTCCTTCACTATGAGGCGTCATAACTCTTTTGAATGAAGATCTTCCAGCTTTCAGGACAGAGTTTGAATTGTTTGGATGATTTTGTCTGGTTGGCGTTTTGTTGGCAAAGTTGTTTTCAACGGGGTGGGGTTACTGAACTCATGTCCAACTCTGTTCATTTATCCTGGCTTGGGACCGGCTGTAACCCTGGAATTGCTACGGGTGGAGTTAAACTTTTATATACGACACTTTAATAAGGGTTATGTCACCACAATACCACTCGATATTATCTCTAGGCGGATCTGATAAAAATCCCACAAACATAATGTCAGTCAAATTTTGTATTCGTTCATTGCTCTTGAGGAGTTTTGCTGGGGTTCTGTACCTTAGTATAAAACATAGGTGTAAAGAAAGACAGTATCACCAAGACAAGGACTTATTTTTAGGTGTATATTTGTACAGCCGGATGAATTTTCGAGACATTTAATACTAAAAGTTTCTACTACAGTTAACTCTAGCAGGCAAATTAGAAGTGATTGACAAATAAATGCTTGAAGACGGCAAACAAGTAAGTCTACTCAACATATATGTTCACTTCATGGTCACTAAAGCTGCGCAGACATTCACTTGCATTTTGAGTAAAATAATGTAAAATGGACAAAATCGTAGTTAGTAGATTTTTAGGTGGAAGATAAATGTTTGTAAAAAGGACCTTAGTTAGACAATGAATGACTGAAAGTTACTAATTAGAAAAAATTGACAATTTTCTCACTTATATATACACTGTCCTTCCACTGTTTTACTTTTGCTTTAAAGCAAGCATTATGGTTCTTGGCTCTGGAGTTTATCGTATTGGCTCTAGTGTTGAGTTCGACTGGTGTGCTGTCGGTTGTGTCAAGGAACTTCGACGCCTGGGATGGAAAACAGTTATCATCAACTGTAATCCCGAAACTGTGTCAACGGATTTTGATATGTGTGACCGACTCTATTTTGATGAACTATCTCTTGAACGTGTTCTAGATATATATGAGTAAGTCTCATATAATCCAACCATTTTAAGTAACTTGACGTTTTATTTCACAGAAAGTGTACGTTTCTGATAAAGTGGTTTTTCAAGCAGTCCCGTTATTACTTAAGTGACTCAAATGAAACTCTGTACATTAATTGAAAATTACCTTACTAGTTCGCTGCCATTTCACCAATTAAACAAACAAACGTCCTAAGGACTTGTTAATTCGTTTAGTAAGGTATTGTTGACAAAAAACAGTTACTGTGTGGTGCTGTGAGGTCTATACTTTTGGTGGCACTTTTAGTTCTCTTATGTCCTCAGAACTGTAATATATATCGTAGTGTGCAGGTTGATCAGATGGCCGCAAATGCCCTTGAAGTAGATCTCCCGATGAGATGCGACAGGTTTTCAGCTCGATGAACTTCCCACCACTTCAATTCAATCAGGTTGAATATGCTATTGAAATATTATTTCAATATGCCTTTGGGTATCATTCGTTTTATACTCACTTAGTTGATGAAGTGAGGTTTGCTATTCAGTATAAACAAAACGATATCCGGAACTGGGACAAATGTGATGTGTTGTAGTTAGTGTTTCTTTATTGTTTCTTTCTCCTTAGCACAACTCAGTAAATTTACAAATCTGTTTACTAAGCCTTGAGCCACAAATCATTTTTCAATATCTAGTAATATCACTCATTTGCCTGAACTGAAGTAGCTTAAGCTGTTTTAGATCTTGTGACCCATGATTAATAGCTGGATGATTTTACCATGTCACTACTGCTATCAAACAATTTTGGTTTCTTTAAGTGATTCAGATGTGTGATCTTTGAAGAAATTTGTCGACAATAGATCCAGATGGTTTTCAACGTTCATCAAGTATATCTCTGATCTCCACCCATTGACTTACAAAGAAAACTACTGTTTCTACAGGCCATCGCTCAGGTGTAATAAATTTTGATTGGGAGTTTTTGGTATGAATAACTTGTTGATTGATTTCTTGTATATCACTACTTTTGTACAAAACACATTTATGCCCGAGATTTAACTTGAATTTGATACTGAAATACATCCTAGGAGATCATTTGACTATGTTTTGTGTGTCATCCTTAATTCCTAACTATAATTATAGATTCGAATCACCCATAGGTGTTATTGTTAGCATGGGCGGCCAAACACCAAATAACATCGCTATGCCAATGCATCGTTTAGGTGTACCTATTCTTGGCACAAGTGCTGAGTCCATTGACAATGCTGAAAACCGTTTCAAGTTTTCACGTTTGTTGGACTGTATCGGGTTGTCACAACCTAGATGGAAAGAACTCACTGATATTGATTCAGCCAAGGCCTTCTGTGAAGAAGTAAGCAAGGTTTCTCTATTTTATGATATTACATTTTGCTCATAATTTTGTTATCTTCAACAGTATGCCGTAATTCCCATCGTGAATAATTGATCCATAACTATTCTTTGAAAAGTGCTTTCCAGATGGGTAAATATTATTCTCAGAAATTTGATCAAGTAGATTTTCTACTCGGCATCTATTTATTTGAGTTATAATCAGTCGCAAACAAACCGTACAATTTATAGTAAATGTTATTGTTTGTTATTGTGGACTAAATAGTTCAGTTAGTGATCGTATTAATAGGTAATAACCATTTTACAGTAGATGCTTGTTTGAACTCAGCCAGTAATTCTTATAAAGCTTAAGTGGATATCGATTTATTTATTTATTTATTTGAACACATGAATATTGGTACAGGGTGGCACCAAATATATATGCGCCACACAAAACAATGATAATTTGAAGAGAAGGAGAAATATATATATATATATATATATATATATATATATATAAAGTAATGAACGTGGGGAATTATAAAAAAAAAGAGGGAGAGAACAATGATGGGGAAAACAGAAAGGTACAATCAGAAGAAATCTTTCAGTTAAGGAAGATACAACCACTTTTTATGAAGAAAGTAAAAGAAGGTTACAGCAGGATCGCCACTGGCTTCTATTCTGAGCCATATCTGATAACGTCTCTAGCCACTGCGTTACACCGTCTCTCGGACCCCAGCCAGGGAGTCGTGAAGGACCAACAGAAGCTAGCCCTTTGCAGCTTTCTTTCATACCACGACACCATGTCATATACTGACCACCTCTCCGCTTTTTCCAACCAGTCCCAGAGTCGGCAAATGATGCACGACGAGGAATTCTCTGGGACGACATTCGTAGAACATGTCCAAGCCACCGAAGTCGGTGTTTCAAGATGGTGACGCCAATTTCATTATCGTCTCTGTGACCGAACACACGATGCCGGACCTCTGCATTACTGACATGGTGTTGCCACTGGATGCCAGCAATCCTTCGGAGACAACGATGATCGAACACAGAGAGTCGTCTAACATCTTCAACTCGGAGAGGCCAGGTTTCACAAGCGTAGAGCAAAACTGCTCTCACCGTCGCGTTGTAGATCCGACCTTTTACAGCCAGACCAACATCACGAAGGCGCCAAAGATGGCCCAGATTGGCATAAGCCGCTCTGGCTTTCACTATACGTGCATTGATCTCATCACTCACGCCCCCACCAGCACTTATGCAGCTACCCAGATACACGAACTTCTCGACCACTCCTATCTGCTCACCGTCCAGAGTGAGTACAGGATTAGAATCCTGCCAGTCTTGTAGGAGTACTTTGCACTTCGAAGGTGCGAAGCACATACCATACCTACGGACATTGATTGCCAACTGATTAAGTGCGGATTGCATGGCTAGGGCATTCTCGCACAGTAAGACAATATCATCCGCATACTCAAGGTCGAGAAGTCTTTCTCCAGGCAACAGATCCACGCCACCATTACTTACATCCGCCAGAGCTGTTTCCAGAATGTCATCGATGGCAAAGTTGAAGAGGAATGGTGAGATTGGGCAACCCTGCCTAACTCCACTGCTTGAATGGAATAGTGGAGAAAGGTAGTTGTATGCCCTTACTCTGCCTGAGGTGTTTGTGTATAGGGCTTTTAGGATGTTAATAAACTTCTCAGGCACACCCTTCTTCAATAGACAATCCCAGAGAACAGTTCTGTCCAACGAATCGAAGGCAGCCCTGATATCAAGAAACACTACGATTTTTGGCCTTTGATAAGTATGGTGGTGTTCTAACACTTGGCGGAGGGTGAAGATATGATCAATACATCCTCGACCAGAACGAAACCCAGCCTGCTCCTCGCGAGTCAATCCTTCTCGGGTTTTGAACAACCTACGAAGTATGACGGAAGCCAATAGCTTGGACGCAATCGGAAGTATACTTATCCCCCGATAGTTGTTACAGGAACGACGTGAACCCTTTTTAAAGATAGGGACAACTATCGACTCATTCCATAAGGTTGGTACACACTCTAGTTCCCAGACCTTTGTAAACAACGTCGTCAGTCCCTTAGTCAGAAAGTCACCACCATCTTTAAAAAGAGCCGGAGGTAAGTCGTCTGGGCCCGGTGATTTGTAACGTTTCAAGAGTTGGAGTTCCTTGCGGACTTCCGCCTCATTTGGTGGATCAGTCGTCACCGGCCATGGAGGGCAGAACAGTCTGACCGATGTTGCCGGAGCAGCAGGCCAGTTGAACTGCCCTTCGAAAATTCTGCCCATCGTCCAAGACGTCGATGGATGTTAGTGATTGGCGTTCCGTCATCTTCGCAGATTGTTTCGCTCACACCAGACTTCTTGCTGCCAGTGGCTCGGATGAGTTGGAAGAGCTTCCGGTAATTACCAGATGCAGCTGCTGCTTCCAGCTCATTAGCACGCTCCGACCACCAGGCTTCACGGTCCTTACGCAAGCTTTGCCCGATTTCATTACGTAAATTCCTTCGTCTGTGGTCAAACTCACGGTCACCTGGAGTAGACCGACGGGCTTCAATCAGTTGTAAGGAACCAGAAGAAACCCAGTGCTTGTAAGCGGGACGTTTCGCGAACCCACAACAGACTTGACCCGCCATTTTCATGGCGTCATGCAATTGCAACCAATGCTCATCTATACTTTTCGGTGGAATGGTAGCTAGCCTAGAAGCTAGCTCGGTTCGGTACTTACTAGCAACAGAAGTTGCAGCCAACTTGCTAACATCAATCCTTTGGTGGCGGTCACTTCGTTGTCCACTGAAAAGTAAGGTAAGATTGGCGCAGACCAGAGCATGATCAGATTCCAGATAGGTGCTCCAAAAGGAGCGGCAGTCTTGTACACAACCACGCCAGCGGTAGCTGATCGCGATGTGATCAATCTGAGTCCAGGCTAGAGATGCAGAAGGAGGATGCCAGGTGGCACATCGGCGATGACTGTGCCGAAAGTTAGTGCTAGCCAGAAACAGGTTGTGGTCTGTGCATAGTTGCAGTAGACGTTCCCCTTATCTGTCCTGCGACCAACGAGTCCCCATCGGCCACCTAAACGACTCTCTTCTGTGCCTAGACGCTCGACCTGAGCATTCAAGTCTCCAGCTAGCACTACAATATCTGTTGAACGCACTTTCTGGAGAAGAACAGTTAGCTGGTGGTAGAACTCGTCCTTGATTGCATCCGGGCTGCAATCTGTCGGGGCATAGGCGGAGATGTCGAAAAGACATCGTTTCTCACGCGGATTTCTTCTCACTTTGATGGAACTTTCTAATCTAACAGCACATAACCGACTGTTAATGGGGATCCAGTCGACTAGTGCTGCCTCAGCTCTAGCGCTTAGTGCGACACCAACGCCAGCAAGACCAGACGAAGATGCCACAGGGTCCCCGGATAAACGCACATAAAACAAGCTTTTTGAAGTGACAGATGGAGAGCGAACTTGTAGTACTTCACCAGAGTCTTGAATACGGGTCTCGGATAGACAACAAACATCAATATTAAGACTTTCCAAAGACATAGCCAGCCCTATCTGTTGTCCGACCTGCATAAACGTGCGAACGTTGAAGGCAGCCAGTTTGAATGGTGCACGTGGTTTCAGAAAAACTGCTTCAGTACTCATATTCGGTGGTAACATACAATTTTCAACCAGGCAGTGACTCGAGAACGTTTAGATAAAGCTGAATTTTCACCATAGGCGAGCTGCTGTCTAGGTCGAAACGGATACATAAGGTAGGTATAAGAGAGGGTGAATAAATGACGTGGTAAAATAATAATAATAATAATAATAGTATGAGTCATTTCAATGTTAATTAGAGAGAAGGGAATATTTTCCATAAGCAAATAGTTCATCATGATTTTAGTGCGTGGGCTGAGATACTGCCCGTGTGCCCAAACCGAAGCAAGTGGTTTTCTTAGGGGGCCACACCCCGAGCCTTTGACCTAAAGGTCTAGTCCACAAGGCAGTGGAGCATCGTGAGGAGATGCAGTCCCATGGTAGCCGGTGACCAACGATTGGTTCATACGCCATTTGTTCCTTCAGGCAGGATACTGGAGCTCATGTGCACCATTGGTTTGGAATCCGGTTATAGCGCCGGACATTCGCTTTTCGTCCTCTCATTTTCGTAGACAACAGTAATGCCACGAGACGGCAGTGAGTAGGACTTCCTTGGCAGAGGCTGTATACGCGTGGCCGTGTGAGAGTATTTCGAGAGGGAGGGCGAACCCTCCCCACTCTCGGCCATACCAGGGCATTTGGGGACAAATGGAAATGGATATCAATCCCTGTTATCATACTTTACTTCTGCACCATTGTCTATACATTCGTGATTTAGAGCTATGGATACAAAATCAAAGACTAAAATAGTAAATGCGCGTAGATCTAAAAGACGATTTGCATAAAACACACTTTAGAACTGAGCAGAGTACTTAGAGTGACGAATAAACTTAAATAATTTATTATCATCATTGAAATAGTTGAAAGAATGTTTATCTATGTCGAGAAGAAGTTGGTACTTGTTGTTTTTCATATATTGGGATAAATAATTTTTAAAAACACATAAATGACATTAAAATAAGAGTGATTTAAAACAAAGTACTTGATGAATTCAGTCATAAGGATAGAAATTGGTATAATAGTTTAAGGAATTGTCTCCCCACTGAGTAGAAACTTTTCGTCGTCTAGATCGATGAATTCCTTCATCCAAACAGTTCAGACGATGAATAGAGGACATTTGTAAGTTACTATTAGTTGACAATATATACCCATGAAGTGCTAATCGCCCATTTTGGGACCGCTGAGTGAGCAATATGAAAGTCAAATCGAGGGTAATTCTGCCTAAAAGATTGCGAATTTTCATCAACTAAAGTGGTTGGTCATGTATTATATATACCCATAAGTCACCAGTGTAAGAGTAGGTTACAAGAAAGTTACAGACAGCCAAACCAAGATGTAGCATCAAGTCTATAAAGTTAATGATCATTTTTGTTAATTTGGACTAATTCCATGTGGTCAGTGTAATATTTTCAACGAGTTGTTGGAAACTTTGGGTGATGCGGCTAAAAATCTGTGGTAATTACACAGATAGATTCATTCTTCACCCTCACTTCGATGCTATGCTTCAAAATTATTTTGTGCTTCTGATTCTACAAATTTGTTAATTCTTCAACTAAATTTCTTTCGTCTAATCTTTTTACTATCACTGATACTACTAGCTCTAGTATTTTGGTATTTATTTTAATAGTCTCATTTCACTGTGTTGATTTGGTATTTTAATTTGATCCTATGTATATACGTGAGGTCCTATGTTTGTCATGACTTATCGATTGATGAATCAGTTGGAGGTAACTGATCTCACCTTTCCCAGAATAGACTTGAAGTTGCATTACAAATCAATTTGGTAACATGTTCACTAAACTGATTGATTTAAGCCACGAAAATAATATTGGTGGATAAAAATATCTTATTATTAGTACCATTATTTATCATATTCTGTCATTCAGAACTTTTTGTTCTATTTTCATTTACAGGTCGGTTACCCATGTCTCGTTCGACCAAGTTACGTGTTATCTGGTGCTGCTATGAATGTTGCAAACGATCATGATCAATTAATTACATTCTTGACTGCCGCAAAAAATATTAGTCCAGAACACCCAGTTGTTATAAGTCAGTTTATTTTGGATGCCAAAGAAATAGATGTTGATGCTGTTGCACAATCTGGTCGCCTAGTTGCAATGGCTGTCTCTGAACATGTGGAGAATGCTGGCGTTCATTCAGGTGATGCAACACTTGTCACACCCCCTCAAGACCTCAACGAAGAAACTGTGAAACTTATTAAAGAACTAGTTCGAGCTTTAGCTGATGAACTCGAAGTATCGGGTCCATTCAACCTACAACTTCTTGCTAAAGACAATCGTCTTCTAATCATAGAAGCTAACTTGAGAGTCTCCCGTTCTTTTCCATTTGTATCTAAAACACTAAAGTATGATTTCATAGCAGCTGCTACACGAGCCATTCTTGGTGCAGCACGTGATTCCATACAACCCCCATTTGATACACATAGTTCAAAGCTGGAAAGATTGTCTCTATCCAAGTCCTTTCTTGAACCATCTGTCAACGTTTTGGAGAACCCTGTAGGATATGTTGGTGTAAAGGTATGCTTCTATGAATAAAGTCATTTTGTGTTAGATATTTTTCGTTTTATAAGGAGGTTGAGTGTGTACTTACTATTATTATCGTTATTCTGTCTTCGGTAACCGTTTTGAAAAATAATTATAGCAAATGTAAATAGAAGCATATTTTCCATTTTGTATTTCGTAATTTAACATTTTAGTCAAAGAAAGAAAACGTAATATGTTAAAAGGCTAGCATTTGCAGAAGCTATATTCTTTTATATTCGGTATCGACCGTTCGGTAAAATTAAGTTTTCTTTTGTAACCGTCTATCAGTCATTTAAAGCTAAACCATAAATTCTACAAATTATAGTATAGTACTTATTTTTTTTAACACATAGGTATTGGTACAAAGAGTGACCAAACACATATGCGCCACACAAATCTCAATTGATTTGTGTGAGGGCTGTGATACTGCCCGGGTGCCCAAACCGAAGCAGGTGGTTTTCTTAAGGGGCCACACCCCGAGCCTTCGACCTGAACGTCTAACACACAAGGCAGTAGGGCATCTTAAGAAGATGCAGTCTCATGGTAGCCGGTGACCAACGATTGGTTCATACGCCATTTGTTCCTTCAGGATACTGGAGCCCATGTGCACCATTGGTTTGGGATCCGGTTAAAGCGCCGAACGTCCGCTTTTCGTCCTCTCATTTTCGTAGACAACAGTAATGCCACGAGAAGCCAGTGAGTAGGACTTCCCTGGCAGAGGCTATATATATAGTATAGTACACCATACTTTTATTTCACTGATGTATATCTAAATTGCAAAAACATTTATATATCCAAGGTTCCGGTATTCTCTTTCGCACGCCTTTTGGGTGCTGATGTTTTGTTGGGTGTCGAAATGGTCAGTACTGGTGAAGTAGCATGTTTTGGTGTTGATCGCTATGAAGCTTATCTGTTAGCACAAGCTGCTGCACTATGTAATACCAATGGACTCCTTCCTAAACCAGGTGATAATGTATTCTTATCTATAGGGAGTTATCGTCATAAATTGGAAATGCTTCCAAGGTTAGTAAAATTCTTCAAATACTGCCTTCTTTCAAGCAATTTATATTTATATAAACTTAGATTACCTACTCTCTGCAAGTCAGGACATTTAAATCAAAGTTAGCCAAAGACCAGTGTTTTCTGTGACGTTTTTATATTTTGTAATGTACGGGAACAGTAAGACACTTCACATGTTATGCTTAGTATCTCACTACTAAGAAAACAAACTTAAATTTTCGGAAAAGTATTTTCTACTATTTATTAGCGCTAATGTTATTAGCTTGACAGTAGTTAGAATAATATCTGGGAATTCTAACTAACTGGAACTTTGAAAATGTCATCTTCACAACTCACTCAAGAATTTTATTAGATAAGTAGTTTTTACAAAACCTTAGTGAATATATGTTTCAACACATTTTCAGAACAATTTCTTGATAAATTGAACTATCAGAAAACTGGTCAGGCTTGCAAAATTAAATGCTGACCAAATTTTTGGGCATGCATTGTATCCGCTATAATTACAAAATCTATAAACTTTATACCGGAGATTAAAGAGGTAGAATGTATTTGTAAAATCTCAGCGAAAGAATCTGAAGTAAATCCAACGTTTCGCCTGGCAATCTGGTACAAGCTTTTTCAAGGAAAATATAATAAAACAGCAAAACTATCAAATATGAATAGGTACATGGTTCTTTGGTTTACTGAATAAGTCATTCAATCAACGTGACTTATTCAGTATACAGTAAACCAAAGAATCATGTACTTATTTATATTCGATAGTTTTGCTGTTTTATTATATTTTCCTTGAAAAAGCTTGTACCAGATTGCCAGGCGAAACGTTGGATTTACTTCAGATTCTTTCGCTGAGATTTTACAAATACATTCTTCCTCTTTAATGTCTCACATTAACTCGGCGCCCAAATATTGGGAAATTACTCGTTCAAATTTAGACGAAAGTTCTTATTTATACCGGACAATTAGGTCATCAGTTCTTTCCTTAGACGATTTTGACTTCAAGAATTAGGTGATGTATATCATTCGGTTTATAGATTGTTTTTACTACTTTGATCACTGTTTCTACTATCTACGATTATTTACATAACTAGTTAGATTGACGGATTACATACTAAATATTTAGCACAACTGCTATTATAAATACAATTTATCATTTACTTCTCAGTTGAGGATGTTTATTGTTTAAGTATTTATTTGGGTTTCGTTCTCGAGAATTTTGATTAACAGATGTCTTTTAGAAGAATCAAACAAAGTTAATGATAATGACTTTATGATATCATCTGTATAGTTCTGCTGTAATATCAACTCATTCTTACTTCACTAGTAGCTAGAATGCTTTGTGCAATCAGAATAAACGAAAATAATTTTGATTTCGATCAGTCTTAATTGTCATATGTGCTTCCTATGCAGGCTCTTTTGATACAGCCATTTTGTCACAAATTTCTACACAATAGATGGGATCCAGGATGCGAGTTTTATTCTATTTAAGTCTCGTCAGCGGATTGTACGTGAATCTCAGTATTGATGATCACGCTGGCTGTGAAACCTAATCCATTAAAAATCAAATTAAAATTCGTACTTGTTGCACAAGGTAGTAAATATCTGAGCTGAGTTACTCAACAGATAACTCGGGCATTTGATGGAAAAGGTATTGATTTCGAGCTGTTGTAAACATTAAAATTGAAATCTAGGTGTATGTTTAGCTGACGAATCTCAAATAGAACGAAACGCGCTTCCTGGTCTTCTCTGCTGGCCACATTTCATCTGGTTCCAATGACTTAAGTTATATTTACTTAAAGTGTAAACAGCTTGATCTTACACGGTTTTTAACCAAGTGATTTCTAGTTGATAAGCAACATTACCACCGGAATGAAAAATTCTTCTATTTTCAACTTCATCATACTTTGTTTCACAGTGTTAAACAGTTACACCAACTTGGATACAAATTATACGGAAGCTGTGGAACTGCTGACTTCTATCAAACTCAAGGCATTTCTATCATCCCGGTTGAATGGCCTTACGAAGAATCAGATATATGCATTTCTGATAATAAGTGAGGTCTTTTTGTAACATTCTCCTCAATTTTTTTGGTATTTATCATTGTAATCAAAGCTCACTTTGTCTTTAATAATGTTCAGGAGAATTTCGAACAAATGTTCTTACTGTATGCTCTGATTAATCTTCTATTTCTTGCTTTAGCCTTGTGTTGATTAATGTGCTGTGGAAAATTTTCCCTCGTATTATTGGTACTGTTTAACTATTTGTAGTGACTTTGCTTCGTTATTTGATCACCTCGATGACCGTTATAATATAAATCTCAACGGCGTATAAATCAGAAGGCAATGAGAAGCGGCAACTACAATTTATTTGCGGATGGCGCAGATCATAAAGCTATAAGCACATCGAGCGTATTTGAAGCGGAGAGGCGAATAAGAATAGACGAGCAACTACATAGGCAAATTTACAGTCGAATTGCATGAGGGCGTTGCAAGGACTAATAATAGGATTTTAGTATATATTTACATGGGGAGAAAGATGAATCATCGAGTGATAATTAAGCGATCAACATTTTAGCTAGAGTCTGTCATATGATCTGATGATCATATCGCTACAAAGAAATATGCGAATTATTACTGTTCAAATAGCATTGTCTGTTAAGTAAGTTAATAAAAGGGTTTGACAAAAAATTAATCATAATCGAAATTGGTTGTAGGATAGTTGCTATATATTTACTTAAATTAGGTTTCTTTAAACTTTTTTTTAGAGTTCAAAATAATATGGATGCAAACTCAAAAGACGGTACAATTCAGCAGTATCTTAAAGATAAACTGTTTTCATTGATTGTTAGTTTATCATTGAAAAAAGTGGGATCACGACGTCTTTCAGCATTTGTTACACGTGGTGAGCAACATGTCACTCATTTTATCTGGGTTATACAAAATAATTTTTCTATTCACACACTGAACTTAATGTTTCTAAAATTAGGAACACTATTTAAATATTACATGTAAAATGCAATGGGAAATTCTGTACTGAATTATAAACTATTGTAGGTATTCATTATATATGTAAATTATATTTGAAATAATCTCAGCGATTGAAATTTAAATAATTCCAACGTTTCGTCCAGCTAACTTGTCTGGACTTCTTCAGGGCAAAAATCAAATTCATCAGAGATTTTACGAATTCACCGTCTTACAATCTAGCCAAGTATTTAGCTAAGATTCTCAAACCATATGAAAAACTGATTAAACATTAAATTAAAAACTCTATGGAATTCAGGAACTTGATTGATATTATCGACATAGAAGATGATGAAATAATGACAAGTTTTGATGTGTCTTCTTTATTCACTAATGTACCGATTAATAAAGCCTTGGATTTTATCAATGATTGTTTAGAATCTGATTCAGATTTGAATTTACGATGCCCATTAGATCCATCGGAAGTTATCAAATGTTTAGAATTATGTTTAAGATCTACCTTATTCATTTTTCGAGGTCACCTTTACAGACAGAGAGAGAGGATAGTAATGGGCTCACCAGTTTCTCCGATTGTAGCAAATTTATTCATGCATTCCCTAGAAACTAGTGCAATCACAAGAAATGTATGTCCACCAAAGTTATGGCTACGATATGTAGACAATATTTTTATCATCAATAAACGGAGGAACTAGACGAAGGAACTAGAATCAGAGGACCAGAAACTAGCATCTCTAGATTGTTTAGTCGAACGCCGACACAATAATAAAAAGTTGAAAATAAATGTTTACAGGAAACCAACACACTCGGAGAGATACTTAGATTTTGATTCAGCACATGCACAATGCACGAAAATTAACGTTGTAAAAAATTTAATGAACAGAAGCACTAAGCTTGTTACAGATAAGGAAGATTAACGAACTGAATTAAATAAAGTATTCTCTACTCTTAGGGATAACAACTACCCAAAAGAGTTTTTAAAGAAGATTATTAAAAATGAGAGAGAAACTAAACTAGAAGGTATACGAAAAGATTGGAAGTACACCGTAGTCATACCATACCGTAGTGAAACATCAGAAGCAATAAAAGGATCCTTAACAAACATGATATAAGAGTGTATTTTATGGCGACTAGCACCTTAAGATCGACATTAGTGAAAGTCAAATACATGTTACCAAAGGAAGAACAACAGAATGTTGTGTATGAGATCAACTGTCATGATTGTAATGCTGCCTATGATGGTGAAACATCCAGACAATTGAATGTAAGGTTGAAGAAACACAAACAATGTTTGAAAAATGTTCCCAAATCCTCGGTTGTTTTGAAGAAGCTAGAGAATAAATCGGCGATAGCGTTACATGCGTTAAAAACAGGACACAAGATCAATTTTGAAGGGGCCAAAATACTTCAGAAAGGTTTTAACACCCATAAGGAAAGATTGACAGCAGAAGCGCTGTATTTATGGGCGAACAAGAACAGCCTGAACCGAAAAGATGGTATTCAACTGGCGAATACCTGGCAAATATCGTTGGACAAGTAATTTGAACCCTATCTTTTATTTTTCAACCGGTTTATGTCAAATGCATCGTTATCGCTGACTGAATTCAATGAGGATTTAGCAATATAATTATGTATCAGTTGGATTCTTAAATTTTGACACGTACATCGATGATTCATTAACAATTATTTAACCTTGAACTCGCACTTTTAGTTATTTTCTTATCCTTCCATACATAACAGAATAACACAGAATATCAATAATTAATCTCACACATACATACATACATACTTACGCACTCACACACATATATATATATACACTTGATGTTGTTACAATTAATTATTTCCATGTAGCTGAATCTTTTCACATGAAATTGGAGTTAACTGACTCATTATACCATATGTTACAAAAATCAACATCCAAATTTGATTGGTTTAACAAAGTTAAAAGCTATATATTTCTTTGATGATTTTGATTATTACCCTGAAGAAGTCCAGACAAGTTAGCTGGACGAAACGTTGGAATTATTTAAATTTCAATCGCTGAGATTATTTCAAATATAATTTACATATATAATGACTTCTCTATACTCGGCGCCCAATATCTGTCAAACTATTCGTTCTAATCTTGACGAATTAAGTATATATTGTAGGTATTTTGAAATAAATGAGATGCAGTTCCATGGTAGCCGGTTACCAACAATATGCTCATACTCTATTTGTTCCTTCAAGATACTGGAGCTCATGTGCACCATTGATTTGGAATCAGGGTTTTCCAACTTCCTTAGGTGTATCATCCGTGTCCACCAATCTGGTTAAGGTGCCAGACATTCGCTTTTCGTCCTCTCACTTTCGTAAACAACACCCCCGCCACGAGAAGGCAGTGAGTAGGACTCCCCTGACAGAGGTTGTATACGCGTGGCCACTTGAGAGTATTTCGAGAGGGAGAGCTGCCTTTTCCCACTCTCAACCGTACCAGAGTATTTGGGGGCAGCAAACACGTAATATATATACATTCCTTTATACTCAAGACTCTGCGTTGCTGAAATGCTATGAGAAAGTCTGTTTATGCGACTGTGTTACACCATCTCTCGGACCCCAGCCAGGGAGTCGTGAAGGACCAACACAAGCCAGCCCTTTTCAGCTTTCTTTCATACCACGACACCATATCATATACTGACCACCTCTCCGCTTTTTCCAACCAGTCCCAGAGTCGGCAAATAATGCACGACGAGGAATTCTCTGGGACGACATTCGTAGAACATGTCCAAGCCACCGAAGTCGGTGTTTCAAGATGGTGACGCCAATTTCATTATCGTCTCTGTGCCTGAACAGAATTCCGAAATTTGTTCAGCGTCTTACACAAAAAAAACTTCATTGTATATGATTTTTGAATTATAATCATTATTATAATCAATATAATGAAAATGATGATTATAATTCAAAAATCATATACAATGAAGTTTTTTGTGTAAGACGCTGAACAAATTTCGGAATTCTGTTATAATGAAATCGAATATAATATGAAAGGATATATTTTTCTTTTCTTCACTACATTTTTTATGATTCGCTATTGAAATCTCTGAATTTCTTTGAGTAAACGAATTTTGATTGCAGTTTTAATTCCTGTAGTAGATTCATTCTGGTTTAACCTTGGTTTATGACATTTATTTTTCTGCATCAGCAATTTACAATTAAATTACAAAAGAAATAATGATGATTTACGAAATCCAGCATGTTGTTTGATGATTCGCATTTATTATTAGTAACTTTTTCGTTCATCAACTTCATTTAGGCTATCAAACTAGACGTCTTGCCGTTGACACAAATGTACCGCTTCTAACTGATGTAAAACTGGCTAAACTTCTTATCGAAGCTCTTTATCGTTATTTTCATGGACAAAGTGCAAATAAAACACTAATAAAATCTGAAGACAACGAATATAACGTATATAAACAATCATTCCTTCATCGTTTACTTCCATTGCATTCAATAACTTCCAGTCAAATAATCTATCTGCCAGGATTGATCGATATTCACGTCCATACCAGGTAATGTTTTATGCAATGGTTTGTATTTTTTTATATTTATTCAATGATAACCTGATAAAATGCAATATAGTGTTGCGTCAAAACTTGCCATTAGACTATCCTAATTAGAACGACTTGACGTGTTTCATAATTTGTTTGACATTCGCTCTAATACTGGCGTTTGATTATTGGTGAAAATTGCGGAATAGTTATTAAATAATGTATCATTCACCTAATGTAAGTTATATATAATTCAGTTTGTTAACGAAGTACCTATTCTTGTACTCATTTTGAAACTACACTTGTGTAAAAGTTACGCACTATAAGGTATTAGACAAATCAAAATCAGTGGTAAATGATAGAATCTGTTATCAGTGCCAAAAATTAAGTTATTGAACAAATGAATTACAGTTACACTTTCTTTTATTTATGGTTATTCCATAACTGAAGTTCAGTTTGCTGATTGAATAGTATTAAACGAGATCTGTGTTTAGTTTGGATCGATAGCTATTTCTAGCACTTTGAAAATCTATAATTCGCTAAATTTAGGTTAAATACCTAAATTTATCACCTATTCCGTAAATTTGAGAACTCATTGACCAAATAAATCTCTAATCATCCTGGAAAGTTATATCATGAGGGTATAACCTAATCTAACAGAATGATGCTATGACTTCGTTTCCATGCACTTCGAAAGCCTTAGAAAATTCATGTGGATATATGGAATAGGAACTGTAATAATTGAGTAAGCTGATTTGATAAATGAAACCACTTATTCAATTAGTATTTAGTTTGAAAATTATGCTGACTATATTACATTTAATTACTCATTAAAATATGCGAAGGCCTAAAAAGAATCTTCAGTAAACCAGCTCTAATGGCAAATAAATGGAACCGTTGTCTAACTGAAGCTATCCTTACTTTATAATAATATTGTGTTGGAAGTATATCCGGAAAATCATATTCATTTGGTTGTAACTTAGATAGTTTCTTCTAATTTGGAAGGTTTATGAGTTTTTTGTAAATCAATTTGATAGCGTTTTTGAAGATCAGAATGTTACACGTAAAACATTTTTTGATAAGCATGGATTTTATATTAATAGTCACTACTAAAAAGTGACTTAAAATGTTCTCTAGAAGTGATATAACCTCTTGTTATAGAATTGACTGTGGTTTTCCTGATAAAAATAATGTGAAGATAATAAATCTCATTTATATTAATTACATAAGATGGTGATTAACAAGTAGTATGTTTCTGTAGTATATTCAAACACTTATCCAGAGGCTATTATTGATACCCTCTGATATGCTCACTTTTAACTGTCTGCTCTGTTGAATAGAGGTTAATGGTCAATTGGATGTGTATGATGGTTATTGATATTCTGATGCTCCATCTTTATTTGGTAATGATTTTGTCAATATCATTCTCATTCCTACACATCTAGAAATGTGTATTGCAGTGCCAAAAATATCTTACGCATCTCCTGTACCTTCAAAAACACTTTTATAATCATAAAGAAAGAAACTGCTCTGAATTTTCTCGTCCCTTGGTTAGCAGAATTAATGTTCAACTGCGTCACAGATAAAGCAAGTTGGTATAGGTGAATTAACACTTTTGATCGGTGCCAAGATTTCTCCAGCCACCAACTTACTAAGACTGTTGTAACTTTCAGGATAAATGAGCTGGTTAGCAAGTTTGACTACGTTAATCTCCATAGTCAGATTAGAAGTTAATACAGACCAGTTTTGGAATAGGCGGTAGACAAATTCATTCCGAACTTTTGCAGATTGTTGCTCAAGCTGTTGATAAGACTTAGTTTCTTCACTAAATAAAACTGTTATCTACCTATTATGTCACCGACTGGCTTTATAAGTAAGAGATCCATCCCCGGAAAGTCAGATAGAAAAGCGTTGTTCTTGAAGGTATACCTTGTAGACGAAAAGATGAACACCGGATTCACAGAAGTGGTTAATTCAGTGGTGGTGATATATAAAAGAAAGATTGTGTATAAGGATATATTACAGGAAGAAAAAATTAGTTCGTAGAAAGAAAGATATAAAGCAATTTTAATCTCATAGTTTAAAGGAAGACAGAGAGTGTATACACCGACGCCATTGTGATCGATTCTGAGCCATGTCACCAAGAGTCTCCAACCATTGGTTACGATAGTCACGTGGACCCCAACCAGGCAGTCTGAATCTCCCAACATGGCTCAGACCAGAAGTTAGTGACTTCAAGCACTGATGCCACGTTTTGGTTTGGCCGCCCCTAACTTTCTTCCAATTATCCCCTACACTAGTCAGCATTGCGCGTCGTGGTAATCGGTGTTCAGGCATACGCAGAACGTGGCCTAACCATCTCAGTCGATGAAGATTCATAACCTTATCAACTGATTTACCATCATTCCATAGTACCCTGCGTCTAACCTCACTATTACTTACCCGATGATCCCAGCAGATACCCGCAGTATTTCTAAGGCACCTGTGGTCAAATACTAGTAACTTACGAATATCTTCTACTCTCAAAGGCCATGTTTCGCAGCCGTATAGTAGAACGGAACGAACTGCCGCGCAGTATACTCGTCCCTTAATTGATAGACGGATATCTCGCCTGCGCCATAGATGACGTAAGTTGGCAAAGGCTAAATAAGCTTTTCGAATCCTTGCTGAGATTTCGTCAGACACCAACCCATTAGGGCTGATCAGACTTCCAAGAAAATTGAAGTTGTCAACGCGTTCGACTACTTAACTCCCTATCCTTAGTTCAGGTGTTTATGCAGACCAGTCTTGAAGCAACAACTTGCATTTAGAGGGAGAAAAGCGCATCCTAAACATTCTAGCATTGTTGCTCAGTGCTACCAAAAGACTCTGCATTTCATCAGCGTCTTCACCAAACAGGACTATGTCATCTGCGTATTCTAAGTCAATAAGTGGACCTCCTGGTAGGAGATCAATACCCGAGAATTCAGTCGATGAGAGCGTTATTTCCATCAGGATGTCTATGATAAAGTTAAACAAAAAAGGAGAAAGTGGACAGCCTTGACGGACCTTACTTGAGGTTGCAAAAGCGGATGACAGTTCGCCATAGGCTCTGACCCGACTAGTAGTGTTCGAGTAAAGAGCCTTCACAAGGTTTTATGTACTTCTGAGGTACGTCTTTCAATGACAGACACTGCCACAGAACCTCTCCCAGATTTTAGCTAAAATATTAGTCAACCTAATCGCTAAAACTAGACCACTATCCTTAAAGACCTCTGGAGCCAATCCATCTGGACCAGCTGCCCTTCCTCGTTTCAGATTAACTATGGCCTTTTGAACTTCAGTTAGAGATGGGGGACCTACTTCAATGTTCCATTCACACTGTCTGGGAATAGAGGGTAGTTGTAGAGTAGCTGAAGGCCAGCTGAACTGCTCCTTAAAGTGTTCCGCCCATCGTTCTGAGCGTCTGGACTGGGAGCAGATGAGAGTGTCGTCTTTTTCCGAAATGGTCTGACTTACACTTGATTTATTAATTCCAGTTTCTTTTATTAGTCTGTAGAGTTGTCTTGTGTTCCCTATAGCCGCCGCCTTTTCCATCTCTTTTGCTTTCGTTGCCCACCACTGCTCACGATCATTCTTTAGACTTTTTCTTAATCTAGATCTGATTTCTTTACGCTCTTCATCGTATTCAGAACCTGATGGAATGAGTTTGCAAGAATCTATCAGTGCAATAGACCTTGACAAAATCCATTGGTTCTTCGTAACCCTGTGGTTTAAATCAGTGGTAGATGTCACTGCTGTTTCCACAGCTGCTTGTATAACTTTCCAAGCAACATCTGGGTCAGTCTCGTTTTCTGAACCACCTAAGTGTGACCTCAGTTATTCCTGGAAACTACTTTTGGCTTTCTCATTACTCGATTCGGTTCTAATGAGTCTTTTTTGTGTGGCTCTTTTGCGTCCAGTGAGGCGCAAGCAGATGCGTGTTCGTACTAGGGCATGATCAGAATCCAAGCAGGTACCCCAGAATGATCGACAATCTTCTATTGACCCTCTCCAACGATGACTAATGGCAATATGGTCTATTTGAGTCCATCGTTGGTTTGGTGCAGGGGGTCGCCATGTTAGACGATGTCTCTCCTTATGCTTAAAATTTGTGTTTGCTAAAAATAAACGATTGTATGAGCACAGTTGCAGCAGTCGATCACCATTATCTGTTCGCTGTGCCGAAATACTAAAATACCCACCCAAATGTCTTTTTGTTTTGTTTAAGCTACCTACCTGGGCATTAAAGTCGCCTGCTACGAGTACTATGTCTGAACGTTTAGCTTTATGAAGAAGTTCAGACAGCTTTCTGTAAAATTCATCTTTCACTTTATCCGTACTGCAGTCACTGGGAGCGTAAGCACAAACGACGAAAAGGCAACGACGTGTGTCCCTATCCTTCCGAGTTCTTGCCGAGCCGTTTAGCCGAACAGCGCATAGACGACTGTTAACGGGGATCCACTCTAATAGCGCTTGTTCCGCCCTCATGCTAAGTGCTATGCCTACACCTGCCAGTCCACGAGAACTAGCCATCGGGTCGCCAGATACACGGATGGTGTATCTCGTTGGCTCTCCGTTTTGCCGAGGTGAGGTCAAGTGAATGACCACACTAGGATCCTGTTTCGGAGACACAGCATACATCAATGGTACGAGATTCTAAGGTTTTAGCCAAGGAAGCCTGCTGACCGATTTGGCATAGTGTGCGTACGTTGAAGGCTCCAATGTATAGTTTGGAGCGAGGTTTCAGTAGACCTGGGACAGTGTTTTGAGCACTAGAATCGTTGGCTGTGGTGACACTTGAGGAGGAAGCTAAAAGAGGAAGTTTAGTGTATAAAGTCGATGTAGGAGGAATAATAGGAATTGAAGAGGTAGGTTGACTATGAATACAGTGGTCTTGAGTGCTGTTAGAGGTATGAGGGCGGTTATCACTTCCCGGTTTCCCACACCGTGGAAGGGTTCTGCTGGAGGTACCTGAAAAGGAAATTGGATTAGAGTTGGTCATAGTGACCTGAGAGCGTGACTGCAGTGCCCAAGGGATAGCTGCTTGAGGTCGGTCACACACGACTTTTTTATGAGTAATTTTTGTGTTAGCTCCGTACTTGTTGAGTCCTTACCGCCGGAGACGGATATCCGTGGAATAAGGCGAGGTGTGCATTTTTAGGGTTGACCTTTTCTAACCTCACCCCTCCTTGTGGGAAGGCAGCATCGCTGCAGATGCTGGTTGTCTGAAGGGGACACCTTACTGCTGTCACACCTCTGTACAGTCACCTGAAGTCACTAATAAAATTCCAGGTAGATGATGGTTGAATTGTGTTGGTTCTCCACACCGATAGAAAGACATCATTTATGAACGTTATGTTTTATTTTTTCGGTCCTTAGCACTCTTCAACTGACCTGCCTAGGATGTTAGAATATCAGGCAACAAATATTACGCTCACTATAGGTTGTTTCAGTCATCATCAAAGAACTTCTATCACTTCATTAATTTCACATACAGATTAAATGCTTTCTGTTCAATGTTGTTCAGGTTAAATAGATTCCGACATTTCCCAAATAATCCTTTCAAGTTATCTTACAAGGTAAAAGTAATGGCCATTTAATTTAACTGTGATAAAATGATTGACTACAAATTCATCCATTATAGGATCCTCCACAAAATGATATGGGTGTTGGCTGATGAAAAAGTCAGTTAATGGAATATTTTCATGACTATTCTCTAGGTATTTTAAAAATTGATGACTCGTTATTTTCATCTTTGTCTATTACTTATACAGGGATCCCGGAATGGAATATAAGGAGGACTGGACATCTGTTACTAAAGCTGCACTTGCGGGTGGTATAGTAACTATTTTAGCAATGCCAAACACCGATCCTGCAATAGTTGATGAAGATACCTTTAACATTATGAGCAGAAATGCAACATCTAAAGCTTGTTGTGATTACGGTCTTTATGTTGGCGCATCATCAGAAAATGCTTCCACTATTAGTTCTCTGTCTCACAAAGCCGTTGGACTCAAGATGTATCTTAATGAAACATTTACTTGCTTATCGTTAGGCAATAAGCTTAATATTTGGCGTCAACATTTTGAAGTAAGACGCAACAAAGCTTTTTCTTCACTACGACTGACAGTATTAGTACTGAAACTGTTATTATCAATATTGTTTAAATGTCGTACAAATTTAGCATAGTGTATAATTCATTATTCAGGATATTTTTTTCAGGAAAACACGTTGGTTCATTTAATATATAAATGAAAAATAACACTACAGTAATCATCTATGTTTTTGGTGAAGTTTCGTTTTCTGAGCCAGATGGTTTATTCGTGGAACTTTCATTGTTCTTCATTAGCATAAACTTCAAGTGGAAGTGATGTATTCGAATTTCTTCAGTTTATTAGAACTCATCGACTTATGGTTAGCAACATATTTTCAATTCAGCAATAAAATATCCGAACAGATGAAAAGACACTCGTTTAATCAGTAATATTAGAACCTATTGCAGAAGAAGTGATGTAGAGATTGGAAGCATCGAATTTACCAGTAATCAAGCCGAAAATGTGGATTCGTTATGTAAACGACACATTCGTCATCATCAAACAGGACAGGCTGGAAAACACCTACAGTTTGATCAACAACATATTCGATGAAATAAAATTCACAACGGTAAAGGAGTCCAACAACAAACTATACTTCTTGAATATATTGATCACAAGAGCCAACGCTTGGAAACTGGGGACTTAAGTTTATTGGAAACCAACCCATACAGATCATATTCTCAATTGCAGTAGCAACAACCCGATAACTCGCAAAATTAACTTCATGCAAACGTTTTTCAGAAGGTTGAAAACACAACAGCACACATGCAGAGCCGAGAAATGAAGAAAAAATATCTTTCGAAACAGTGGCTATCCACTCTGCTTCATTAAAAAATATCAACCCATCTCATTGACCAGACCGAAAGCAAATATGGAAACCAACAAACGGATAATCCTACCATATGTATATGAAATATCAGAAATTACAATATTATTAAAACCGTTTGAAATAGATGTACTATATAAACCGTCAAAATCACTGTAAACAATCTTATGGTAAACCAAAGGATGAAATGGCAAAAAAAGTGAACATCATCAACAAAATGAACTGCTCCAACTAAAAGAATCACTACACCGGACAAAGTGGAGGTCCTCAGTATCTTCCCCTGCATGAACATCAACTGGCGGTCAATCACCATGATATATCTTTGCTTATTACTATGGATGTGGCCAATTGTGGACACATATTCGACTGAAAAAACACCGAAATCTCGGATACAACTGATAATAAGAACATCAGAAAACTTTTAGGAGGTTGGTACCCAGGGCGATCATCATTCAACAAGTACGTCGAAATTGATCCAATTTACCAACCACTTTGATAAATCATGGACAAACATGGAATCAAGAATCAGATCAAAGGGGAATACAATCGAAATAAAGATGCAGACAATGGCAGGTTAAAGGTCAACAATAATATTTCAAGATCAAGGTCAACAGGATAACCTGTGAGTCATATGTTAAAAAATTCGAATACTTCACCTCTAACTGAAGTTTGTGTTGATGTTGTTGTTCATAATAGCAATAAAAGCTCCACGATTGAACCATCTAGCTGAGAGAACAAAACTCCACCAAAATCATCTACTTGAGCTGTAAATCTTATCCATCATCTCTGTGTAGACATTACTTGTTTATGTTTCCAGCTGCCAGAATTCTCAACAAATGCAAATTCCAATGTTTACAAAATATTTATACAAATTAACTATTCGATACAAAATTAGATAAAAGCTTTTTAGGTATATCTTTATACTATCAATCACGCCGTACGATTGGAATTCTTTTTCTAATTATCACTACAAAATTACAGAATGTTGCTGTCTATCGTTATATTTATACGTAGTCCGTATACTTCACATAACTTTTCTAATTAAAAGTGAACAATATTTAAATCAAAAACAGTTCATAGAAACACATAAAGCGATTACCAAAGTAAAAGTGATTCCTGGAGGAGTTATTCAATTAGAAACAAAGACTAGCTTATATAATCTCAGTAGAAAGTGAGTAATCGTACTTAACTTTAACTATCATTAAGATTCTATCAGCTCAACAGAATTTTCCACGTTAATTCTATCATTTTTACTCCCATCACATTATCTATTATTTTAGTCCCGCGTGCGGGATCGTGGGTGGATACTGCTGAGGAGTCCAATGCTAGGACGAAACAGACTTCCAGTGCTTACAAGTCTTCAATGTTGGTCTAACATTGATTATTTCGTGAACTCAATAAAAACTCAACATTCTCTACAACCCCATATTGCTTATTATTTTAATATTTCAGATAATTTTAATAGCAGATATGCGTAGTTTGTCTGCATTCTTTCATGTAAAAAATTTCTATGGAATGTATTCAGTGACCTTTTATGACCAGTGCATACCTTCATCACCAAAATAGGTTGTATATGGTAAACAACTATTGATGTGTTAGTGCAATGGAATTATGCCACCCCTCATTAGTACACTTCTGTTCTTTTTTTATTACTTAAACCCATCTCTTTTGTTTAATAAAAAATGAAACGAATTGTGCTTCGCTATTTTATCTGGTTCTATTAAACATTAAATGTGTTTAAAAATTAGAATAAGCTGTATTTGACATTCAGTTATGTAGTTGACATATATTAGTATGATAATAAAATAATAACATATTTGCGACACATCAATGCGTAAAGACTAGAATTTCTGACATTTCCTGACTTAGTGTAACCCACTTCTTGAGATTAAAAATTAAGCCAATTAAAAAGTACGGAGAAACAGGCAAACTATATAGTTCAACCAATATTAGAATACATCTGATTATGTCATTTTTGATCAAGGTAATTCTGTGAGACATTGCCGTGTGCATTTGTGTGTGTTGGTGATGTGAGGAAACAAAAGAATTAAGTATATTTTTCTGTTTAAACGGTCGAAGTCGAATGAATAATCGTTCTATCGAGAGAAAACGGATTTAGTATCATTCGAAACACCCCAGTTGCTCTATTATTGGTAAAACCTTTCTGAATTATTTTGAAAACCTGGATGGCCGTTTCGTCCTTGAGTGAGACTTCTCAGAAGTGCGCACACACAATCCCTCACGCTGCACTCGAACCCAGGAACTCCTGTCTTGCACGAACGGTGTTAATATCTGATTTCAACCAACCCACGATGTCGCGCGACTATCTTCCATTGTCTTCAGTAAGTAACTGCCTCACACCCGACATAGTTCAACTCCACTGATCACGGCCTCTCAATAGAATTCTGAGAATTACCTCTCGAAGCTAGTCACTAGAGAACTCATGGTATTTATTAGTATAAGGTTGTAGAGCCTGTTGAGTTTCATTAAAATCGCGAACAATTCAATGTTATACCACCATTGAAGACCTGGAAGCACTGGATGGCCGCTTCGTCCTAGTATGGGATTCTATTATATATACAAAAATCTGATGCCTCACACTGAATCACTTAATTAAAAATGACATGACATTCACCCCCTTTTTGATTGAACTAAATATTTAGCCTGTTTCTTTATATTATTTGAACTAGTGCTAAATTGAATCGGTTATTCATTCATTTATTCTGGAAAGGTAGCTTACATCAAGTTACGAAGATTGAAAATGTGATTTCGGTGAGACCATAATTAATGGAGTAACCAATCAGATTTACGATAACAGGCCTTAGATTTTGGCGCGAAATTCATTCATCCATTTAGCTGATGTCAGTTCGTGATGAAAACCCTAAATCTGATTCCTAACCATAACCATCAACCGTAAATCATAATCCTTATTCTTCAAACTGCTTTATAACCCTCATTAGGCCCTAGTAAGTAGGTACACACTCTCAAGGTCAATCTGACGTCGCTCAAAGGTCGTCCATAAATTATAGTCTTACCGTGATTTCCAATCCTTGAGTCTCAAAAACATATCATTATTTTATTATTAACATTCTATTCTATACTCAATTTATTTGAAATAATTAAGTTCAATCTTGATAACAATAATAAGTTATCAGTGCGTTTATTGATCATTTCTAACAAAAAGTTTAATTTTCTATCTTTATATAAATATATGCTTGCAAAGAACTGGCCAAGTGATCGTCCAATTTGTTGCCATGCTGAAGGTGAAACCATTGCCGCTGTAATTCTTTTAGCGGAAATTACTGGACGCAGTGTACATATTTGTCATGTTGCACGTAGAGCTGAAATTGAATTAATTCGTGACGCTAAACAACGTGGTCTAAAAGTCACATGTGAAGTTTGTCCACATCATTTATTCTTAACTGCAGATAATTTACCTCAAGAAGGTGGTTGGAGTAAGTCTAGTTCTCTTTTGTTGAAAGTCAACATACTGTTGACATAATAGTTAGTCACTCTCTCTAATACTAATTTGTAAATTTTAATGATTATTTGCATATGCAAAGTATTCGGTTTTGATTTGAAAGTTTGAATTTTAATCCTATGTTAATTGAGCACTCGAGTTTTATTTCCAATAACATACTATGCTAATTGGGGACGGCAGATCACCGTTGGTTAATACTTTTTATTTGGATTACAACAACTACAATGTCTACATGCTTTCAAATGATTGGTCAACATTGTAAATTGATAAGCTAAAGTCATATTTTATTTTAAACCATTGTTTATGTTAGAGTGCAAACGCAGCATCGATTTGCTACTTCTTTTGCCTTATTTAAAACTGTGACTATTCGAACACCGGTAAATTTTTTATAACCAGAAATCTACTCATCTCTAAACTGAAGTGCTTAATTTTCATTGCAAATCTTTAAAGTCAATCTACTTTAAATTAATCTCGCGAGTGATAACTTGGTTTGACTTTCTACTTAATGATTTGTTAACCATCGAGCTATGTGGTGTTACAATACTTGTATGGATTTGCTTTTAGTTTATAAGATCATCGTTATATCAGTCACTATACTTTGTATATAACTCTGTGTACAGTTTGCTTCGTCCTTGATTATATTTTGTGATTATCAGATATTCTTATTATTAACAAAGCGTCCCTTATGTTAATCTTTACTTATTTAAGTCTGTTAATCCTGCTGAGGCATAGGCCACTCATCCGGTATTTCCGGTCAATGCTGTATTAAGCTCTGATTCGCATCTCTGTGATCCTCATTCTCAACCATTTAGCTTGAGGACATCAAGTCACGGCTTGCTTCGTGGTAGTTTGGTGGTTTTCGTATAGCGTGTCCTTTCCACCTTCAACGTTTTTTCTTAATTCCCTCCTTAACTAGCAGCTGGTTTGTTCTCTGCCAGAATAGGTAATTGTTGATGGTCTCTAACCAAAGGATCTAGAGTATTTTACCTAGAGAGCCGTTTATAAATATATATACTTCCTTGGTGATGGTTTTGGTAGTTTTTCAAGTAAAATAAAACTGTCTTTGGTATTGGCTGAGTTTTTTTAAGTCCCAGATATTCTTCGGTCATAGAGATTTTGCCCTTGCCTTGCCAATTCATACCTTCATATTTGCATCAAGTCATCCTTGTTTATCGATAATGGTGCTTAAGTAAAGGCGTCCACCTCTTCCAGAGCTTCACCATCAAACGTGATTTTGATCGCTGCTAACAGTTTTGTACATGACTGACCTTTAAAAAAGCCAGCTTGTTGGTCTCCAAGTTGAGCGTCTACTGAGTCCTTCATTCGGTTCAACAACACTGTTGGACACTGTCTGAAACTAACAGTAGTGTGCAACCTCTGTAGTTCTAACATCTTTCTTCGATATGTTGATGAAATATCCCCTTTTTTAGTTTTTAGTACTTGTTCTTCCTCTAAATATTTCTGAAGAGAATGCGGAGCATCTTTGCAGTTACCTCTGTATCTGACTTTAGTGCTTCTGTTGCTTTGCTTCTCTTGGTTTATCTGATGGTCATGATGGTTTTCGTATTGTTGATGGGGTTTATTTTGAAAAGTGATAAATCTTTATGGAGTTGGAAATAACGTAAGATTCACTTATTTGTATGTTTATAACATATGTAAGCAGAGATGGTGACGGTGGGATTCATGATGTGCCCATCTAGTTATCATCGTGTTACATGATAATTTCCCTCAAAGCTCTACACAACTCTGTGAACTCAAATAGACTGTCTTCAAATAATATATATATAATTCTTATAGGGCTGTTAGGCTTTGATGCAGTTTCTTAATACCATGAATGAAAAGTGATTCATGAGTGAAATCTCTTTGCAAATTCACCTTTCTGGGAAAGCATTTCGTATTGGATTATGTCAGTAGTTAGGTAGTAACTAATAGTAATATTGCTTGGAAGTAATATTATTTACAAACTGAATCAAAATTAACAAATGTAACAACTGAAAAATACATCATGGATAAAAATAATTCCCCAGAAAGTAATTGATTACTGTATTCAAGTGATGTTATGCCGTATTCCTCACCAGAGTGCCTTACAGTGAATTATCTATTCACTCGGTTCTACTGAATATCTTTAACGGTGGCCTTTAGATATAGAGGATATTCATAGTTTACTAGTATTCGATCACATGTACTTGATCCATTGCTCGTGCAATTATACAGTTAGACGTAGAGCACTAGATATGTATGAAAAATCGATTGATGCTGTAGTGAACCTTCATCGACTGAGATAGATATGACATGTATTACGTATTCCCATGCACCGACTACCTCGACGTACAATGTTAGTTAGTGTACGGGTAGGTTGGAAGAAAGTTAATGGTGGCTAAACTAAGACATGACATTAACCCATGAAGACACTGACTGTTGAACTAAGCCTTGTGGTTAAGTGCAGACTACCTCTTTGGGATCCACGTAATTATTGCAACCAATAGTCGGATACTTTGGGTACCATGACCCGGAATCGTCCGCAATCTTGCAGGTGCATTCACATTTAGTCTTCCCTTACTTATTTACGCCTGTTACTCCTAATGGAGCATAGGCCGCCGACCAGTATTCTCTCCAACCCACTCTATCCTGCGCCTTCTTTTCTAGTTCCATCCATTTCTTGTTCATTTTTCTCATGTCTATCTCCATTTCCCGGCGTAATTTGTTCTTTGGTATTCCTCTTTTCCTTTGGCCTTGAGGATTCCATGTGAGGGCTTGTCTTGTGACGCAGTTGGGTGCTTTCCTAAATGTGTGTCCTATCCATTTCCATCGCTTCTTCCTGATTTCTTCCTCCGCTGGTTTGTTCTCTCTCACAGTAGGTTGTTCATAATAGTGTCTGGCCAACGTATCCCAAGTATTTTGAGTAGACAACTGTTAATAAACACCTGTATCTTCTGGATGATGGATTTCGTAGTTTTCCAGGTTTCCACCCCATACAGTAGAACTGTTTTGACATTTGTATTGAAAATATTGACCTTGGTGTTGTTTGCCAATTGTTTTAGTTCCAGATGTTCTTCAACTGTAAATATGCTGCTCTCGCTTTTCCGATCCGCGCCTTCACATCTGCATCAGATCCACCGTGTTCATCAATGATGCTGCCCAAATATGTAAAGGTTTTTACATCTTCCAAAGCTTCTCCGTTAATTGTGATTGGATTCGTGCATGTTGTGTTGAATCAGAGAATCTTACTTTTCCCTTTGTGTATATTGAGACCTACTGCTGCTACACTGGTTGTCTTCTCCTGCATTTGGTATTGCGTTTGCGATAGAAGAGCCAGGTCATCTACGAAGTCTAGATCATCCAACTGCATCCTAGATATCCACTGTATACCGTGCTTCCCTTCAGATGTTGACGTCTTCATGATCCAGTCGATCACCAGAAGAAAGAGAAAGGGTGAGAGTAAGTGACCTTGCCTGACACCGGTCTTTATTTCGAACGAGCTTGTCAACTGTCCTCCATGCACGATTTTGCAGTTTAATCCATCATACGAATTCTGTATGATATTGACTAACTTCTGAGGCACGTCGTATTGTCGAAAAATCTTCCATAATGTTGTTCTGTCCAAGTAGTCTTCCCTTAGATCCTAATTTTCGAAATGAACATGCGAATTTTTTTATTCCACTAATCTATATTCTCTTATCGCATCATATCTGTTATGCTTAAGCTTTCTGCCAACAATAGAACTGTTATTACCTGTACTACTTGTGGATTTGTTTTGACAATTTCATCACGCTCTGCTAATTGAGCATAGCAACGTAAACTGATGTATACATGTACCAGGTCCTACGTTGCGTATGACTTACAACTGTAATATTCATCATGACATAATTTCATCAATCGTTAAAAATATTTCACATATTATTTTCCAGATGAAGTGCGCCCACGACTCGGTACAGAAGATGATATAAACGCCCTTTGGGCTAACATTAACACAATCGATTGTTTCGCAACTGATCATGCACCACACACTATTTCTGAAAAGAGTAAAGCGTCAGGGGCACCTCCTGGATTTCCAGGTTTGGAAACAATGTTGTCGTTGTTACTGACCGCTATGTATAATGGCCGGCTTACGCTTACTGAACTGATTGAACGCCTGTATATTAATCCATACAAAATATTTGGAATACCAACTGCTCACACTTTATATGAAGCTGTGAACTCAGTTAGTCGGGGGATATATGGCGAAACATGGGTTGAAGTTGACATGAGTGCTGAATGGCGTATCCCTGGGGCTGCATGGGAAACCAAATCAGAATCTGCACCTTCATTCTTTACTCGTGCTAATTGGAGCCCTTTCGCTGGAAGAGTTGTTCGTGGTCAAGTTCGTCGGGTCATGCTCCGAGGTCATCTAGCATTTGTCGATGGACGTGGTATGACTAACTTTTTCGTTTTTTTTTTATTTTCACCGCTTGAACCATGGTTTTTTTCGGCAGTAATATTTAGGATGTTGTGTGTGGTCGATACGAACTTTATCGCTTACTATTTAAACATAGTCATAGTCTCTGTGTTAAGTTATAAATAAGAGTGTGTCATACTTCTGCTGATATTTTTCGCCAATATGAGTGACCTTATCTGCTGATTAATACACCTCTTTTTTCATTAATATCTCAAAAATAGTTTTGCTAGGAACATGTAATGCAATAGCTAGCCTGTGATTCTGTGTGGCTGGAAAATTCGTTACAACATAAGTGTCTGAGTTATAAAATGGCACAGCAAACAATCGCATTAAAGCACCACGAAGAATAAATCAATTAAATTATGTGTTAATAATAATAATTATTTGACTTTGAGTTTCCTTGTTAAATAAATATTTAGATACCTATGCGATTCCCAGAAAATTAGTTACAATTATCATTTTTATGATTTCGCATGTTATCAGTTTCATTGCAAGCATGTACCAGGTTATAGGTCGTATATCACTGATTGATTGGAAGCTGTGTGATGAACTATGCGCTGCACTCATTTTCTAAATTTTATCTAATATTAAAGAATATTTTTTTATCCTCCACTACTGGGAATATGGTCTTAGAAAAACAATAAAAATTATTGATGAAATTATAAACTTGCCTAATCCCCATGCTTATATAAATTCCTTAAACCTCCTACAATTATTCAGTAATCTGTTTTATCAGTTTCCACGCTCTAAATAAATACTCTTTCACGCACGCGTATTCACACATATTGTGTGGATAACCATTATTTTGATTATTTTCGTCACCAATGTATGTTATCTCAAATTATATTATACTCCAATGTTAAACCTTAATACGAATATGGTTTTAAGCTGCTGAGGAGAAATCACGAAATATGAATTCATATTATTTTCCCTCAATCGTTGTTTTGGTCTTATTCAAATTCATAAAGAGAACCAACTGAATAAAATTTCCTCGCAATTCAACTTGTATTTTCTCCTCGTCTCTAATGTTGAATTGAACTACATTTCTTAGAAATTATATATATATATATATATATATATATATATATATATATATATATACCTTATTTTTTATGTACATTTCCAGTGAATAAGTATTTTTTCTTATCATTGTCCCGTTTCAGTTTTGGTAGAACCTGGTTTCGGTAAGGATGTGTCGTCAGACATATCCTTGTCTAAGAATTCTTACGATCCACTAACAATTGACACTTCTTTAAAACATATTCCTGTCTCAGCTGGTTCTCCCACTCTTAGAAACCGATATAATTCAATTAATGAACGTGTTCAGATAGTAAGTTACCTATTGTGTACAATTATCGTTGATTACACTTATGTATTGATATAAATTATTATTCCAAGGCATATGACGTTTTATCATATTCGTGACTTTACTATCTAGTTAATCGGTTGCTTTAAACAATTCGATTAATCCTTGATAAAATTTTACTCCATGAGATTTAGAAAATTAGTAACATTGTGAAGCTACACACAAGAACAGTTTGCAGCTTAAGTTGTAGCTAGCACTACATATATCTACATGAATTTTGTGTTACCATTTATTTTCTTTGTAACCAGATGGTAAGAGTTTGGTGAAAAACTTTTAAACTCACCGAGGTTACTCGCTTGTGTGGGGTAAATAATCCCAATTTTAATAGAGATATCTGACAACAATCATTTTACATTTTCGATCAATTTTGCTTGAGAAATAAACTGCTCACTTGCAAAGGAATGTTATCCAGATTAACAACGAATAGTTGTTACCCCGAATTCAGTTAATGACAAGATGTCCATTAAAAACACTTTTGTAATGCTTCATACCTATTCAATAGAAAAGCACGTCATGTATTCCTAATCGAAACTTTTTAAAGTTATGCAGTACTTTCCAATTAGTTCTGATTCACTTCCTTAGGAAATATTCACTGAAATTGGGAAAGTAATCGATTAGTAGCAACATGGATCTCATTTCATAACTTTTCTATAAGCATATACATAATTGTCATTATTATTATGAAAATATCTGTTCGTAAAACTGATAAATAATATTTACTTTTCGTATGTATATCCATCTGTATTTGTTCTTCAGTCTCAAGATGAACCTGGTACACCGATCCCAGCTACCGCTCAAAGTGATGAGGGACCTCGTAGTCCAATTATTGTATACCAACCTTCTGCATCTGGTCTGATTCCAACTGCCCAACTACCTCAAACCCACCAAACCCTCCCAAGTATATGGTTAGAAGGTTTATCAGGGAAGCATATACTTTCTTCTCTGGATTTCTCAAAAGATCATCTTCGTCGGTTGTATAACTTAGCGCATAGTTTTAGAGTTGCTCTAAATAAAAACAAACCTTTAGATCAGATATGTCGTGGAAAAGTATGTAAAACTTAAATACATATTTTATTAAATAAAAACAACTCACTAAATATTTATACTTCACTAAATCTTCTTTAGTATATTAAACTCTTCACTTTGCATAATTCTTTATCAGGTAATGGGAAATCTGTTTTTTGAACCAAGTACGCGTACTTCTAATTCATTTGCTATAGCAATGCAGCGACTGGGTGGCACTGTAATGCATTTTTCGGAATCTACCAGCTCCCAGACAAAAGGTGAAACTGTTTTAGATACTGTACGGATATTAGCCAGTTATTGTGATTGCTTGGTAATTAGGCATCCTGGAAAAGGTGCTATACACGCTTTAGCAAATTCAATAGTACACAAACCAATTATAAATGCAGGTTAGTTCATATTGTCTTCTTTATATTCTTGATGAGTTGTATCTATTTCAATTTAATGTGTTGTAATCTGACTACAGTATTAAACAAGAATTAATTATTTCTCTTAATCAGAACTAAATGCCCCTGAATAAATACAAGTTTCAGTATACTCCGAAATAAACGAATCCAAACTTAGATCTGTAAAGTTTTCATCACTTATTTAACATGACAGAATTTTGGCATTTTTCTCTAAGATTTGCTTATGAATAAATTTATTCCACGATAATATATTGATATTTCGCGAATAGTAAATGTACTATGTAGATGAAAGTCTTTTATCGATTAGTTATTTTATTAAAAATAATAACGTATAATGACAAAAACAATGTCATAACGGAGGCGTACAACTTGGTTGTTTATATAGTGAACTATTGTAAGTACAAACAAAACAATAAAGTGATCACAGCCAAGTGGTCACTAAGTAAACTGTAATTCATAACTTACCTGAAGATAGTGATTAGGATCTTTGATATTATCATGATGAAATTAAGATTTATTTGTTTAGAGAAATACTTTTCTTTACATTTTATGATTAATCAAATGCAAGCGGCCAAAACAAAACTGCTATTTCATGTGTCATTATGCAAAAGAACAAGAGGCTTTGTTCATATTTGATGCATAGAATCGTCGACAATTCTTACAAAGAGTTCCTTCTTGTTGACTAGATTCACTTAGGATAGGGTTTTATCACCGCCAAATGAATGAACTTACTTACTCCTGTTACACCTCGCGGAGGAGCATAGACCGCTCACCAGAGTTCTCCATCCAACCCTGTCCTGGGCAATCCTTTCCAGCTCTTTCTAGTTCCTATTCATCCCTTTCATATCCTCTTCTATTTCCTGACGTAATGTGTTCTTTGGCCTTCCTCTTTTCCTCTTCCCTTCAGGATTCCAAGTCAGCGCTTGTCTCGTAATGCAGTTTGATGATTTCCTCAATGTATGTCCTATCCATTTCCATCGTCTTTTCCTAATTTCCTCTTCAGCTGGAAGCTGGTTGGTTCTCTCCCACAAAAGGCTGTTGCTGATGGTATCCGGCCAATGGATGTTGAGTATCTTGAGTAGACAGCTATTGATTAATACTTGTACCTTCTTGATGGTGATTGTTGTAGTTCTCCAAGTTTCAGCTCCGTACAGTAGAACTGCCTTGACGTTCGTATTGAAGATTCTGACTTTGAAATTGGTTGAAAATTGTTTTGAGTTCTATATGTTCTTCAGTTGAAGGAATGCGACCCTTGCTTTGCCAATTCTCGCCTTGACGTCTGCATATGAACCTCCTTGTTCATCGATGATACTTCCCAGGTATGTGAAGGATTCCACATCTTCCAGAGTTTCGCCACCAAGAGTGATTGGATTGCTGTTCTCCGTGTTGTGTTTGAGGACCTTGGTTTTCCCTTTGTGTATGTTGAGGCCTACTGATGCAGAGACTGCTGCTATGCTGGCTGTCTTTATCTGCATTTGTTCGTGTGTATGCGATAGGAGGGCTAGCTCATCTACAAAGTCCAAATCGTCTAATTGGTTCTGAGCTGTCCATTAAGTGTCGTATTTTCCCTCAGATGTAGAGGTCTTCATAATCCAGTTGACCACCAGAAGAAAGAGGAAGGGAGAGAGTAGACAGCCTTGTCTGACTCCGGTCCTTACTTGGAATGCGTCTGTCAGTTGTCCTCCATGCACTACTTTGCACTGTAGTCCGTCATATGAGTTCCGGATAATATTAACAATCTTCTCAGGAACTCCGTAGTGTCGAAGAATTTTCCATAACGTTCTCCTATCTACACTATCAAATGCCTTCTCATAATCAATGAAGTTGATGTACAGTGACGAGTTCCACTCAATTGATTGTTCGACGATGATCCGTAGTGTCGCAATCTGGTCTGTGCACAACCGATCCTTACGTAATCCAGCTTGTTGATCTCGAAGTTGAGCGTCTACTGTTTCTTTCATCCTGTTCAGTAACACTCTGTTAAAGACTTCCCCTGGTATTGACAGTAGTGTAATGCCTCTGTAGTTTTCACACTTGCTCAGATCTCCTTTCTTTTGATTGCAGCCTCTCATAGAATTGATCTGTAATGTCGTCGTTGCTATCATTTGTGGGTGCATAACATTGGATAATGTTCATTGTGATCCCCTCCTTCTTTGTTTTGAATGATGCTTTGATGATTCTGGATCCGTGAGATTCCCATCCTACAAGTGCATTTCGTGCTACTTTGGATAGCATTAGAGCAACTCCCTGAGTGTGTGGAGCATTTTCCTCTTCGTGACCGGAGTATAGCAACATCTCTCCCGTATTTAGCCTTTGTTGTCCAGCTTGGGTCCAATGGGTTTCGCTGATTCCCAGTACTGCCAAGTTGTATCTCCTCATTTTCGCTGCTATTTGACTGGTCTTCCCGTTCTCCCACATTGTCCGGACGTTCCATGTACCTATAAAACTTGTTGCTGTGGTTGTTAGAAGGGGCATCGGCCTCATGGCTTCCGAAGGAACTCGGCTTTCACCCTGAGGCGTCATATTTCTTCTAAATGAAGACCTTCTAACTCCCACGGCAAAGTTTAAATGGTTTGAGTTATTTTTTCTGGTTAGCGTTTTTTTAGCGAGTCAGTTTTCTACGGGATGGGGATGCTAACCCTATGCCCAACCCTCCTCCTTTACCCGGGCTTGGGACCGGCAGTAACTCTAGGAGAGCTACAGGCGGAGTTCCAAATGAATGGAGCATTGTAGAAAACAATCATATACCTTATATAGTGATTTATACTGTGGAATGAGTAGTTAAACTATATCATATGGCTGAAGGTCGTTTTTCTCGACGTATACGGCACTCTTCTTGTTTTTTACGCCGTAATAAATACGACCAGACATTGCTTTTAATGGGTCCGGAACACCGAGCTACAATAGGATATTAATAACTTCTAATTAAGTTATTTGATCTTTCTTTTTCTGCTATCTACGCTTGTTTTAAATTAAGATTTTTATTTACTCTTTGAGCAAACAATTCAAGCAGTCACAAAGCCTTTATTATTTAGATATTGCTGTTATTCATACTACGGAAAACAACGTTTATCTGATGTCAAGTCTTGGTACTAATACTTATCAATCATAGTATGATGATAATATTCGAGGACTTTTATGAGGATGCAAATTTCTGTGAAATGAGCTGAAATTACAACGAAGGCTACTTCAAATATATGATTGAATGATAAAGGTAGCTTGTTCTTGAAACAAACAAGACGTGTTTTTTTCACTATTAAACTTTATTACCTATGGTATTTCATCTTTTGAACCTAAGGTTTCATGTTTTTCTTCTTATTAATGCAGGCGATGGAATAGGCGAGCATCCCACTCAGGCACTACTCGATGTTTTCACAATCAGAGAGGAGATCGGGACAGTGAATGGTCTAACTATCACTATGGTCGGCGATCTCGCTAATGGACGCACAGTACATAGTTTGGCCCGATTATTATGCTTATATAAAGTCAAACTACGTTACGTCACTCACAGAGATGAATTTAAGATGCCAGCAGAAGTTAGATCGTATGTTGCTGATCGTGGTATTCCACAAGAAGAGATGACTAGGTAGGTTTATTTTGAACTTTACTACAATCGCTGTGAATGTTTGTGCCTATCAAACCTCTATTATATTTAAATGTTCTGTAAAGCCAGAGTTTTAGAAATACAATTTGATGTATTCCATCCTTCCTAAAGCCTATTACAAACATCAGGTCATGTGTTGGACGACTACAGTACATACACAATTCTAATTTTAAACTGTGTAAACCAAGATTCTATTCAGATTTAAAGTCAAAACTAAACTAATAAATAATTTTTTATTCATAGCTTGGAGGAGGCACTACCTGATACTGATGTTCTCTACATGACACGTGTGCAAACAGAAAGAATGAGTGATGACAGAGATGCCCGGCGTGATCAATTCGTTGTTACACCTGAACTGATGACACTAGCCAAACCTAGAGGAATGATTGTAATGCACCCACTACCTCGTGTTGGAGAAATCAGCCCCAAATTCGATTCCGACCCTCGAGCAGCTTACTTCCGTCAAGCGGAGTATGGAACGCATGTTCGCATGGCCCTCCTGGCTATAGTGCTGGCTAATCCGAAATGAACTAATTATGATTCAGTCACAATGAACAGTATTTCTTAAACATTATTTTGGTATATTAAAAATGTCACTATTTTGTTTATTGCTTTGATACATAAACACTTCATGATGTGAAATATTAAATTGATCTAATACTCTGCATGGGAAATGTTACTCTACTACTAATTATTTACTTTTTATATTCATTCTATAAGTAGTATCAAGAATAAAATTAGTTCTCAGTGCATTTTCATCTTCTAAACAAGTTTGGAATACCAAAAACTGCCGGTACACAGTTCATAAGCTACGTTCATTGCGTAACGAATACATTGTGGAGAGAAAAGAAAGACGTTATTTGATTGAAAATGCTTTATTGGTCGATATATGTGCATATCTAATTTTATTTATTGTTTCTTGGGACCGATTTTTATGAGAATTTCATTTTCGCAATGGGCAAAGTCGCACAATTCAGAAGTGTATGGACAACCATCTGGATGGTTAAGTGACATCCAGCAGAGTTTTGTTTTACGATTCTTCCCAATTTTGTTATTGAATAACGGAAATCCAGAATCATTAAGCTTCGCCATCTTATCTGGTGACCAACGTAACTGAACGGTGTTTCTGATAGCTTGATGAATAGACAAAAAAAATACTATAAGCAAAGTTCCATAGGCGCAAAAATAACCAGTTTTACATGAGAATGGGAATAGAACAAACATTTAAATCTCAATAACGCATAGTTGAGAATAAACTTAGTTGACAAATTGATTATTGTCATGCACATATCGTCCTGATCTGCGATTCGTGAAATACAACAATGGAAGTGGCCTCAATGAGGCGGATTTCTTAAGCGCCTTTACCCAATGAAACGAATGATCAGATTTTACGAGGTCACTGTTATCTTTAGAGTTGAGTAGATTTTTTAGACTACTCATCTCGCGATAACTAAGTATTGTGTTCTGTTGTTCACACAAGGAGTATTTGTGTTTTACATTACGCCATTATGTAAACAGCCATGCTGCTAGAAAGTAATTATAAGCCATTCGAATGAATCAGCTTTTTCACACGATTGGTTTGTTTAACGAATTTGAATAAAGCCAAAACAACAACTGAAGCAAAATAATATGAATTCATTTTATCTCATAGTTTCTCATCTGTTTACAAGTGTGTTCGTATTACAGTGTAACATTAAGATATGATATAATATCCCGGAAACAAAATACCATTAGGTGTCATTACCAAGGTTTGACTTGATAATTTCAAATCAATTGAGCATTAGGTAGATTGTTATTATTAATAATAATATATTTTGTAATGTCCCAATGAGTAGGAAAATTAAGTCGGGAAATTTGAAAATTTGGTTTTTCTACTGATTGGGATATGTATAAATATATCATTTTTATTACATTACCATTAGATTTTAGTAAGCTTTTCCATCTTATCTAGTTTATTTACAGTAGCATAACTTTGTCCAGCTTATCGTTTGAAATGCTACATCTTTTGGCAATCTACGGCCAGAAACAATATATTGTAAAGAAGTTGTAAACTTTCGAGTAATATGGGCTAGGAACGAAAGGAACTACACTTCGTCTGAATATGTATGTAACTGAATACCGTATTCACTAAGTAATCTTTAGTGAGGAATTAATTTAGTTAACATTATTATTATTATTTGAACACATAAATATTGGTACAGGGGGGCACCAAATATATATGCGCCACACAAAACAGTGATAATTAGAAGAGAAGGAGAAAAGAGAAAAAAAAAAGTAATGAACGTGGGGAATTATAAAAAAAAGAAGAGAGAGAGAACAATGGTGGGGAAAACAGAAAGGTACAATCAGAAGAAATCTTTCAGTTAAGGAAGATACAACCACTTTTTATGAAGAAAGTAAAAGAAGGTTACAGCAGGATCGCCACTGGCTTCTATTCTGAGCCATATCTGATAACGTCTCTAGCCACTGCGTTACACCATCTCTCGGACCCCAACCAGGGAGTCGTGAAGGACCAACAGAAGCTAGCCCTTTGCAGCTTTCTTTCATACCACGACACCATGTCATATACTGACCACCTCTCCGCTTTTTCCAACCAGTCCCAGAGTCGGCAAATAATGCACGACGAGGAATTCTCTGGGACGACATTCGTAGAACATGTCCAAGCCACCGAAGTCGGTGTTTCAAGATGGTGACACCAATTTCATTATCGTCTCTGTGACCGAACACTCGATGCCGAACCTCTGCATTACTGACATGGTGTTGCCACTGGATGCCAGCAATCCTTCGGAGGCAACGATGATCGAACACAGAGAGTCGTCTAACATCCTCAACTCGGAGAGGCCAGGTTTCACAAGCATAGAGCAAAACTGCTCTCACCGTCGCGTTGTAGATCCGACCTTTTACAGCCAGACTAACATCACGAAGGCGCCAAAGATGGCCCAGATTGGCATAAGCCGCTCTGGCTTTCACTATACGTGTATTGATCTCATCACTCACGCCACCACCAGCACTTATGCAGCTACCTAGATACACGAACTTCTCGACCACTTCTATCTGCTCACCATCCAGAGTGAGTACAGGATTAGAATCCTGCCAGTCTTGTAGAAGTACTTTGCACTTCGAAGGTGCAAAGCACATACCATACCTACGGACACTGATTGCCAACTGATTAAGTGCGGATTGCATGGCTAGGGCATTCTCGCACAGTAAGACAATATCATCCGCATACTCAAGGTCGAGAAGTCTTTCTCCAGGCAACAGATCCACACCACCATTACTTACATCCGTCAGAGCTGTTTCCAGAATGTCATCGATGGCAAAGTTGAAGAGGAATGGTGAGATTGGGCAACCCTGCCTAACTCCACTGCTTGAATGGAATAGTGGAGAAAGGTGGTTGTATGCCCTCACTCTACCTGAGGTGTTTGTATATAAGGCTTTTAGGATGTTAATAAACTTCTCAGGCACACCCCTCTTCAATAGACAATCCCAGAGAACAGTTCTGTCCAACGAATCGAAAGCAGCCTTGATATCAAGAAACACTACGATTGTTGGCCTTTGATAAGTATGGCGGTGTTCTAACACTTGGCGGAGGGTGAAGATATGATCAATACATCCTCGACCAGAACGAAACCCAGCCTGCTCCTCGCGAGTCAATCCTTCTCGGGTTTTGAACAACCTACGAAGTATGACGGAAGCCAATAGCTTGGACGCAATCGGAAGTAGACTTATCCCCCGATAGTTGTTACAGGAACAACGTGAACCCTTTTTAAAGATAGGGACAACTATCGACTCATTCCATGACGTTGGTACACTCTCTAGTTCCCAGATCTTTGTAAACAACGTCGTCAGTCCCTTAGTCAGAAAGTCACCACCATCTTTAAAAAGAGCCGGAGGTAAGTCATCTGGGCCCTGTGGTTTGTGGCGTTTCAAGAGTTGGATTTCCTTGCGGACTTCCGCCTCATTTGGTGGATCAGTCGTCACCGGCCATGGAGGGCAGGACAGTCTGACCGATGTTGCCGGAGCAGCAGGCCAGTTGAGCTGCCCTTCAAAGAATTCTGCCCATCGTCCAAGACGTCGATGGATGTTAGTGATTGGCGTTCCGTCATCCTCGCAGATTGTTTCGCTCACACCAGACTTCTTGCTGCCGGTGGCTCGGATGAGTTGGAAGAGCTTCCGGTAATTACCAGATGCAGCTGCTGCTTCCAACTCACTGGCACGCTCCGACCACCAGGTTTCTCGGTCCTTACGCAAGCTTTGCCCGATTTCATTACGTAAATTCCTTCGTCTGTGGTCAAACTCACGGTCACCTGGAGTAGACCGACGGGCTTCAATCAGTTGTAAGGAACCAGAAGAAACCCAGTGCTTGTAAGCGGGACGTTTCGCAATCCCACAGCTGACTTGACCCGCCATTTTCATGGCGTCATGCAATTGCAACCAATGCTCATCTATACTTTTCGGTGGAATAGTGGCTAGCCTAGAAGCTAGCTCGGCTCGGTACTTACTAGCAACAGAAGTTGCAGCCAGCTTGCTAACATCAATCCTTTGGTGGCGGTCACTTCGTTGTCCACTGAAAAGTAAGGTAAGATTGGCGCAGACCAGAGCATGATCAGATTCCAGATAGGTACTCCAAAAGGAGCGGCAGTCTTGTACACAACCGCGCCAGCGGTAGCTGATCGCGATGTGATCAATCTGAGTCCAGGCTTGAGATGCAGAAGGGGGACGCCAGGTGGCACATCGGCGATGACTGTGCCGAAAGTTAGTGCTAGCCAGAAACAGGTTGTGGTCTGTGCATAGTTGCAGTAGACGTTCCCCGTTATCTGTCCTGCGACCAACGAGTCCCCATCGGCCACCTAAACGACTCTCTTCTGTGCCTAGACGCCCGACCTGAGCATTCAAGTCTCCAGCTAGTACTACAATATCTGTCGAACGCACTTTCTGGAGAAGAACAGATAACTGGTGGTAGAACTCATCCTTGATTGCATCCGGGCTGCAATCTGTCGGGGCATAGGCGGAGATGACGAAAAGACATCGTTTCTCACGCCGATTTCTTCTCACTTTGATGGTACTTTCTAATCTAACAGCACATAACCGACTGTTAATGGGGATCCAGTCGACTAGTGCTGCCTCAGCTCTAGCGCTTAGTGCGACACCAACGCCAGCAAGACCAGACGAAGATGCCACAGGGTCCCCGGATAAACGCACGTAAAACAAGCTTTTTGGAGCGACAGATGGAGAGCGAACTTGTAGTACTTCACCAGAGTCTTGAATACGGGTCTCGGATAGACAACACACATCAATATTAAGACTTTCCAAAGACATTGCCAGCCCTATCTGTTGTCCGACCTGCATAAGTGTGCGAACGTTAAAGGCAGCCAGTTTGAATGGTGCGCGTGGTTTCAGAAAGACTGCTTCAGTACTCTTATTCGATGGTAACATACAATTTTCAAACCAGGCAGTGACTCGAGAACGTTTAGATAAAGCTGAATTTTTACCATAGGCGAGCTGCTGTCTGAGTCGAAACGGATACAAAAAGTAGAAATAGGAGATAGTGAGTAAATGACGTAGTAAATAATAATAATAATAATAATAATAATAATAATAATAATAATAATAATAATAATAGTATCAGTCATTTCAATGTTAGTCAGAGAAGAACGAATATTTTCCGTAAGCGAATATTTCATCATGTTTTGGTGTGTGGGCTGAGATACTGCCCGGGTGCCCAAACCGAAGCAGGTGGTTTTCTTAGGGGGCCACACCCCGAGCCTTTGACCTAAAGGTCTAGTCCACAAGGCAGTGGAGCATCGTGAGGAGATGCAGTCCCATGGAAGCCGGTGACCAAAAGTTGGTTCATACGCCATTTGTTCCTTCAGGATACTGGAGCCCATGTGCACCATAGAATTGGGATCCGGTTATAGCGCCGGACGTTCGCTTTTCGTCCTCTCATTTTCGTAAACAACACCCCCGCCACGAGAAGGCAGTGAGTAGTTAACATACAGTATATTACTCAATACAAATTTGTCTTCGACTTGACTATTACAACTGTTCTGGAAAAATAATAATAGCAAAAAATAACCAATCTAGCAGACCGATATGTACTATCCAGAATCTACTATTTCATTATTTTTTCACTGAATAACAAAGATAAAATTAGCAACCACGGTAAGGAAAGCAAGATCTAATGGGTTTCAGTAAAGCCATTTAGTTAAATTACCCCTTATAGTTCATATGCGTCAAGAATTAATGTGAGGAAATATTAAACAAATCGATATAACATAAAAACAGGTATTTGTGGAAAGAATAATTAGCTATTTAGTAAATCTATTCGACAGCATTTATATACGAGATGCGAATTATTAAATATATCACTTCTAAAAATATCCTGAATGACTTACCAGCAAAGATACCAGAAAATTGTTCCCAGTTAGCATATAAGAATGATATACATGAAGTGGTTCGATTGAAGTTCAACAATTCTTATAAACAAACCTAATACTTCTCAAAGCTTGTCTTTCGAGCACTAGCAAGTGTATATTGCAACAATTGGCTCGACATATTACAGTGATTATCGCCATTTCAAACTATCTTAAGCGACAAGAAAACTAAAGACCTCCGAAAATGGCTGTCTACTTTTATGAGTGAGTATTTGCTTAACACCCTTACTTAAGCAGAGAGAAAGATTCTTAGCCATTTACGATTGTTAATAGACTACTGAATATGAAAGTATATGCATCGACACAAATCATTCTGATTTGACTCAATAAACTAAGTTGCCAAATAAAAAACGTTCTGATGGTTAACAAGGAATTATTTTTGAAGTATTGTGATTTCTGCTTTATCCGACATTTTTAGATACCTTCACTATTGTACACCTGTCTACACTGCTGTGACATTTCTTAATCGGTCACTACTAACTTATTTGATGGTATAATCCTCATTTACTCTGTCAAACTGTAATAACTTTATATACACACATCCATACATATATATATAAGTTAAGCGTTTGCGCGCGAGACCGATAGGTCCTGGATTCCAATCCCACAGGGCGGGGTCGTGGATGCGCACTGCTGATGAGTCCCATACTAGCACGAAACGGCCGTCCAGTGTTTCCAGCTTTTCCATGATGGTCTAGCTCTAATTTATCATGAATTCAAGTATTATACATATATCTCTCTAAAGATTATGCACCCAGTGTATTCCAATTGGAGAGTACTACCTAGAACTTTTAAAATCCTTTATTCCTTGTACTATTTATCCCATTAAATGGTGTGCACTTAAAAAAATCAGAAGTACTACATTGAAACACTAGTCACAGTTTGGACTGCTAATTTTTAAGATACATATACGATGTAAAATTGCATGAAAAATATACAGGTCACATAGATTATTTAATTAATTTCATGTTAAGTTAACTCACTTCGAAAACACTGATGGTGATTCCTCAAGACAGTTTGTAAACCACCATGCTGAGATTTTAATAATTTCATATCTTCTAGTGACACAAGTTCACTGCACTCTGATAAAGTTAATGTACCTTATTATAAGAGAGGGAAGAATATTTTATTCCAATTTTTTCTCATATACTATCTTTTGTAATAAGTAAATATATTTGAGTGAAAAGCATCAGTACAACCATGCACAATAAAAAATTAGCAATACTCAATTTAGTACTACAAAAATACTCAAACAACAGTAATATTAGTTCGTGTGGCAATCTTAGCATTATAATACGTAAGTTGAAATTGAGGTCGACCAAGTTTTATCCTAGTCTCTCAAGAAATTAATGTTACGTCAGACCTCGTATTAACTTGCAGCTTAACCGGTTTACCATTAAAAAAGACAGTTACGTACTTCGTTTTAGATGAGGATTGAGCACTTTTTGTGGCTAGAACGACATTCGAATTATGTGGCACCTCTTGTGACGTCCGCATTTTGTTTCCCTTACGGAACTTATGCTGACGGTCGGCAATCTTTGGCCTACTTCTACAACATACTTGAGCATGATCATATCTACCATATCGGAAACAAACATTAGCAGAATGACACTCACCGCATCACGAACAAGACGTTTTAAGTTTCATTTGACTTGGGATTCGCTAGGAGTACGAATCCTTATTTCTATTAGAGGATTTCCGCAAAGCACTAACTTCCACGTGTCCGCTGTTCCTCTCTACGAGATTTGTATCATGCTTCAAATTCACCATTCTTCAGATACTGACTGCAGACTGATATTGGGATCTTTTTCGATCCTTGTTAAAATCCGTGTTCTGATATCTGTAGATTGCAACCCAAAGACAAAAATAAGGCATCTAAACTGATTTGAAGACATTTCCTGTAACCGGAACCGCTCACATTCCCGGTCCAAGATGCTTGCATACGTCACATAATCGTCCAGTGCTTTTTTACAAGCCGGAGACACTGGTATCTAGTGTGAAAAATTGATGATCGTTCACCAAATACATGTGTCAAGCATTCTACTATCTCTCTGAAGGTCATGTTGGCTGGCTTCTTTAGGAGAATAAAATTACAGAGCTTTTCATGTTCAGAAACCCTGAGCTTTCGTAGTAATAATCTTACTTTAAACCCTTCATTCCACTCTTTACAATCATTAATAAACAAATCCTCATGGCACTTAAACCACACCTCAAAAGTAGTCCCACTTTCTGGGTCAAATCTAAATTCATTTATTGAGTTCGCAGTAGAATCCGAAGCCATAGTGGAATTAGATACTTGGGTTCTTGGGAATACTAGCATACATTTGACCAATAACTCGATAAGAGCATGTTGCTGTTGCAACAAAGATTTCAGATCATCCACTTTATCGTTACAAAATCCGCTTTAACTAAATATATAGGCGTAGATATATTTCCACACCAAAAACCAACAACAATCAGTGATAATAGGGATAGGAGAATATATAACTCATTTAACGCCTGTCAGACTATCTACAAGTTTGACTAAGCAAACAATCAATCATCGTCATGTTCGGCCACACATCACTTGCAAACCAATCTATACATGAACATGGACTAGCAGCAGAACGACATGACTTACTATCACTTACATCAATCCATCCAAATGAATTTGATCGGGAAAGTAGTAATGTTCCCTATCAATGATCCCAAAGAAAACATAATAATTTAGTCAACATGAAATCAATAAACATACCGGCATGAAATACAGTCTTGTTAATGCATTAACGTAACTGCCTGGAGTCTTTCTAGAGTTACTACCGGTTTCAAGTCCGTGTAAAAGTGGAGTATTGGACATAGGAGTAGCAGCCAGCCTGGCACTCAGGTCAATCAGCAATCAACAAACACATTGAAATCGATCCAATTTATCAACCAATCAGGAAAATGATGCACAAATATGGGAACAAGAATCAAACCAATAGGAGACACAACCAAAACAAAAAAGTAAACAATGACAAATTTAAGGTCAATAAGAACCAATCAACATCGAGGTGTACAGAACAAGCTGTGAAACGCATATGGAGAAATCCGAACACTTCACTTCTATCTGAAGTTTGTGCTGATGATGTCGTTCAAAAGAACGATGAAAGCTGCACGACCAAACCATCCAGCTCAGAGAACAAAACCCCATCAAAATCATCCACCTGAGCTACAAATCTTCCCCACCACCTGAGGAGTGATCTTCGAATAGCTCACTTCTGCTTGAAGTAGACTCTGATGATGCCCAAAACGACAATGGAATCTCCGTAACTAAACCAACCGATCCAGAGAACGCACAACCATACAAAATATGCACCCGAGCTTTTCTATAGTCGCAAAGAAAGTTTTGAAATCGTTATACTCGCTTATCGATTTGATTGATAAATTCTGGTGAGAAAAGGATGAGAGTAAGCTCTGTAGTCAGTAGTGACGAGTTTAGATGTTTTCATTTAGTAACTGATAACCAAAAGCAGTAAGTTATTCATTATTATAGGTTATACCACAATTGGTTAGTTCATAAATCTATGTTATAATAACAATTATTATCCTGATATTTCAGTACACCCATCCAACTAAAATTTACGGCAGCTTCAAAAATTTTATTCTACTGCATCTTGTGATAATTTCTGTCACAAATAAATGCCAGATGAGTATACCTTGTTGAGAGAATTATATACTGCAATTACTGTGATCATATGTGACAGTTTATAATAACTAATACCTGAAATTATTATACGTAATCTATATTAACAATGTAAATTTTATCACCACTTCCACTATTTTAAACGATTTTTTAATCAAGTTTTCCGGATGAATTATTAAGTAATGACCTCTAGGAAATTGTTTATATACAGTAATAAAGTGTCAGCCACATGAAAAATTATGCTGATAAAACGAAATATTTAGATGGAACTAAACGGACATATGCAAACAAAATATTTAAGGCATGAAATGAAGATTCCAAACTGACTTAAATCTAAAAGTTGGAATATAAGTGGCGCGACAGTTTAATGCGTACATTAATTCCATGAGGAGTCGTCTTCATCTAATTATTCAGTAGATATATCAGACCAGTTATATATGACCATTAGATTTTGATCGTATACGATTCGAGTAATGAGTATTTTTCTTCAAGAAGTCAAGTTGAGCTACTTATTAACACCTCCTTTGTTTTACGTTAGCTGTCATAATGAATAGAGACAGGTTATGTATCATGTCATCAATAGTGTGAAACGCGCTTTTAACCGCTCAGTGATCCGTATGATAATTTAGATCCCTATTTGTCTTACGCTAAAAATACCCTTGAAAGTCCAACATTCCAGTGAAAAATTGGATACTATTTGGATAAGTATCTACCAATAAAACTGTTATGGAAACTTACCACCAGGATTCCACCAACGATTGTCCAAAGTTCGTATTTTCAAATCATCAGAAAGCATTAGATTATGGGATTGTAAATGATATTTATCTGGTTTACAGATTAATAAGGCTTTGAAAACTGTATGTGATATTTTGTCAAGAACAAATTTCGACACTCTTGTACAGTTACAGGGAACCTCTGTGGGTGGACGAGCAACAAACGTTTTGTTAGATTTTGAAGTGATATCACGTTCGTATTCAATGTATTTATTAACAGCAGACAAACGATTTGAGTGTTCATTATTTTCAAAACACTTTAAATCGACTATATCTCGACCAACAATACATATCTAAAATAACGAAACATAGAAATAAAATGTAAAAAAATAGAAACTAGGGTTAACAACTACTCAGTAGAAAGCTATGTGAATTTCATAAACAGTCGGAATACATAGTTTGAAACAAGGTGGAATTACCAAGAAATTCATTTTATTTGTTGACTTACAGAAATATGTCACTGGATCAATGCGAAGCAAATGTTTACTATCTCATGCTAGTGTGTTTTTTGATTTTAGAAGAAAACTAAACCATTTATTCCTCCAAAACTATTTCTATCAATTAGTGATACAGATTACGTTGGCTAGTGGATTTTAAAGAGAAATTAGGTCGCTGAATCAATAGCTTCACGTCTTTATGATCTGCGAGATTACAGACAGCCGCGATATCATACTATAGTGCATTACAAAAGCTAAAGTAGTTAAGGAAAATCCGATAAAAAAAATAAGCAGGCAAAGTTAAGTAAGACTAAAAATCTTATATGAACCCCCCAAACAATGAACGATTGGATTCAGCTGTCGATGCAAAACTAAGCAAATGACCGTCTCCAACAATAAATTCTGTACTAGCTTGTCAGCCTATAGCTATAAGTTTCTGATCAAATTAAGTAGTCTCATTGAATCCGTCTCCATGATTTGGACATTACAGAAACCGTTTTAACTACCCTCTCCTTGTCATATACGGTATACCATCAGCTTTATCACAACCAATGAATTAATGACCACAGAGTAAAATTGTGCAACAATACTAAATGAGAAATTTTTATGTTCGTTTTTAGATGGCATACACAACTGTAGACGGCTGCAACTGGCAATATAGCTACGGTGCATTTTGAATCTAGCAAGGTTTGTGACGTAGCTCACATATGATCATGGTTCATCCTTCAGCCACTAAGTTTTTCGTAGAAATACAACAGATATTTTGCTGAGTTACTGACAGTAGAGCATATTGCAATTTTACATTATATATATATATATATATATATATATATATATATATATATATATATATATATATATATATATATATATATATATATATAAGTTCGACAAATAACTAGTAGTTACAAACCTACACGTTTAGTTGATGGTATTCTGAGCGCATCAACTTCAGGTACAAATCTGCAAATGGCAAAAATGTGTTGTATATAATTAAGATATGTAGCATATCGACTATTTTCTGTTATCAGTTTGACATTTATGTCGTCAGGTAAAAATGAAAGTGAACTCTTCGGGATATTGAATTTTCCAAAAAGACTGTAAGGACAACATGGTAAAACAAATAGTTTGCATGATGGTCCACTTTTACATGCTAGTATAGGCAACCAAGGTGTAAGTTCATCACTGTGATTCCCGATTAGCCAATTGGCTTGTGGAAACCCACAAACTTCTTCTGGATTTAACGAAATTTCCTAAAATATGAAATAATGGTAACGAGATTTTACAGAGTTGAGTAACATTATGACTTTTAGTTATAAAGAATACAATTAAAAAAAAACTGGATTGCTGTAGCTGATGAACTGGATCAGAATTATACTATTACTCCTAGCCAATATTACATAAATATAATGAGAAAGAATATGGAGGTAACCATAGAAAAATAGAAACAACCAAAAAAACGAGTTGGGTTGGATATCTGAAGGGACATAAGGTAGTATGAATTCGTCTGGTTTTTTTAAATGAAGAACATTGACTTTTTTTCACATTCCCACTAGAAATATATTTATATTCTGGTATAATAGGGCATAAATAAATGTGCCAAGTAAATGAAGCAATAATGTTGTAAAGAAATGAGAAAAGGGTCCTACAATCAATAAATAAACAGAAAGAGTATTTGATATGGGATAAAGCTCAATTAAGGACACAACCAACACTTCTTTTAGTTAAGAAAGTTTATCTCAATAGTGGTAACAGTGAAGTAGGAAACTACATTACAATCGTCACTGGCTTCAATGCTGATTCATATCTGATAACGTTTCAAGTCAGCGAGATGCAAGATCTCGACGGGGGAGTCTTGATGTATCGACAGATCCCAACCATATATGACTGGATACGTATCACTGCGAACGAGGAATGTTAATAGATAATTGTGAACCCCAGTCGAGAAATCTGTGTTTATCAACAATGATCGACTTGACAATCAGTGGCCTCATGAACTGGTGCCACGTAATGATTGAGCTGCCCTTAACTTCTTATAACCAACTTTTTTGATTTAAAAATCGATTGTTTTTTTTTTCGAGTTTACTGTTCCAAAGAATCAATCAGAATTTAGATGATTTTAGAAACTATGTTGATTTAATTGGTTGTCCTATGGTTATTTTACGAGAGGGTTGCTATCTTTTCTTACGAACTAGATCAATTACCGATTCAGGTCCACTAAATGAAATCACGTTTAGATCCCGAACTCAAACTAAATTCTTAGTCAACCTTACCGATAATAATAGACCATTGTGCCTAAAGACATCTGAAATTAATGTCATATTTCGCTGTTTCCAATTGTTTTGTTATTCATGGCTTTTCCAACTTTGCAGATAAATGAGATTTGGTTATTCATCACACAGGACGACAATATTACTTATATATGATGTCAAGGTCTCCTACTAATTAAGAGATCCACCATTTGAAGATAGAAAATAATGACTTTTAGGTCGACCATGATATTTAAATTGCCACAAGCGAAACCCAGGTATAACATCCTTACTCGTGATTTTTACAACTCGAATATTTTAAAAAGCAAAATACTTAGCTAGTTTTATAGGCAAAAAATATTTGGTGTACGGGAAGCCAGTTTTGTTTAAAATGATCGGAAGCTGTATGTTAACATCAGCTTCTACTCATTGGGATATTACAAATATATTATTTATTTATAACAATCAACCCAATGCTCAATTTATTCGAAATTATCAAATCAAACCTTGGTAATGATACCTTCAGCTTCGTAGGGTTTATTTTTATAATTAGATAGAACTATACAAACTAAATATCACGTAGTAATGTCATTTAAAACAATGGTTGAGAGTTACTAAGATTAAAGAAGTTAAAACACCGTTTTGTATCTTGTAAGAAAATTAAATTTTATCTTTGTAGGGTGTAGAATCGGGATTTTAAATGTGAAATACACCTAGAATTTAAAGATTACATTCAACTTAGGGATTAAGAAAGCACAAAAAACATACCTTTAAACGTTGTTGTATACTTAGTGGATAAGACTTCCAAATGTGCCTCCTACGTACATCTATTCCTATGCCAGTGAACTTGTTGAATAAAGGATAAAGTAACTTACTCCTTCAGATGAAAGTATGTAAGTCAACAATCCGTTCCCACAACCAAGATCGATGAAATTAACATGATCATTTTTCCATAAACACTAAACAAACATAAATTTATTGTTCAATTTGACATACTATAAGGTAGCAAGCTATACCAATATCTTCATACACGAATTTCATTGGGTCTGTTTTCTCCGACCAGTTCTACCATAAATAATCAATGACGATTTTAATGGATACCTTAACTAGAGTAGGTGCATAGGTATTTTTCAAGCGTTCGTATTGCAATTGATATAAACGGCAATCAATTAGTGAAAGGGAAGGAATATTAACTTTTGCATTACAAGAATACCAAAGATTAAGCTTCTGTTCAAGGACGTCTTTTAGCCAAGAACTCTGGAAAAACCCAGGAGACTCATCCAAGACGGAAACTTGAATGCGACCACTTCTAATCAGTATAATAAAGTAAAATTACTTCGTCTCCTCGATAATGTAAGTGATGGAGATAGATGAAAACTTATAAGCTGATCCTTTGGAACAAACTTCAGTGAATTCACAGATCCCAGTACGGAGCTTAGGATAGATAACTCTTACAAAGGATTCATCAGTTTCGGATACAACAGATGAAGCAAATACATCTTTATGTACAACCTGGGGTTTGTGAATCCATATAGACAACGCCGTAGTAAAGCGTTCATCCATTTGAAGGCTAAAAAGCACAAAAATATTAGTCAAGTAGCTGAAGTCAATTAACTAATGAGTTAACACAAAACCATACTCCTGAAGGTATAAGATCAAATGACGGGAGTTCAACTAACTTATACTACCAAGCCAATTAGTATTACGACAGAAATTATTTGTTCTTGAAAGAAATTTAGACAGCAATGAAAGATAGCACTGTTACACTAAAGAGTGTACGTTTATTTAAGACTCAAATGACCATCTTGCGGTATCTCAAACTAAAAAAGAACGTAAAAACCAACCAAGAAACACCTGTTCTTTTTAATCCAACATTCCAGCAAAGAGAGACTGTGCTACCTCAAAAAATTGTCAATAGTTTAGATGGGTTGATTGAATACGGATGGAGTGGGTTTGAAGATATATGAGAGGCCATAAAATTGCCATTTATATCACGAAAGCAATATCATAAGCAATGAAACTGCCTTTCATGAATCGATCGGGAAATTTGATACAGAGTGTGAAACATTTTTGCGACTTGTTTCTAACATTGGTCGTGAGTTATATAAGTATGAGTACCGAAAAATCAGGGGTATACGTAGAATGGCTAGAGCTAGACCCCGCACTACATACGGAAGATATTCGACACGCGATAGCCGTAATTGCCCAGAACGATTGTTTTCGTATGCTAGGCGGAGAACGAAGCGCAGTATTGGAGTCCCCCCCATTACTATTACACGAGAATTCAAACACGGCCAAAGCTGAGATTTGTCAAACTATTTCAGCGAGGTCTACTCTGCGGGTTTTATTGTCAACACACCCAATAACTACGCCACTGAAATTCCAACTACAGTACCAGTGGTTGTAAGTCACCGGGACCTGATGGGTTACGTTTACAATTGCTGTTATTCTTCCTGGTTTATTTATTTATTTATTTATTTTAACACATAAGTATAGGTACAGGGAGGCACCAAAATACATATGCGCCACACAAATCTCAATTGATTTGTGTGAGGGCTGTGATACTGCCCGGGTGCCCAAACCGAAGCAGGTGGGTGTCTTAGGGGGCCACACCCCGAGCCTTTGACCTGAACGTCTGACCCACAAGGCAGTGGAGCATCGTGAGGAGATGCAGTCCCATGGTAGCCGGTGACCAACGATTGGTTCATACGCCATTTGTTCCCGCAGGATACTGGAGCCCATGTGCACCATTGGTTTGGGGTCCGGTTAAAGCGCCAGACATTCGCTTTTCGTCCTCTCATTTTTGTAAACAACACCCCCGCCACGAGAAGGCAGTGAGTAGGACTTCCCTGGCAGGGGCTATATACGCATGGCCATGTGAGAGCATTTCGAGAGGGAGAGCGGACTCTCCCCACTCTCGGCCGTACCAGGGCATTTGGGAGAATTGCCCCCAAATTCTTCCTGGGCATTATTTCAGAACCACTTACGGCACCATTTAACATGTCCCTTGTTAGCGGGACATAGATTGGATTAAGTCATGCTCAATGAACGCCTGCGTTGGCGCACGTTGATTGGCTGATTCTTGTCTAATCAGCGCTAGTCGATATTTGGAGAATACTCTAGAAATCTCATGTACAAACTATAAATATACTAACTTTTTTCTTGTTGTGCTTCTTACTTCTATCTAACCTTGTTATTTGGAATATAATCTCTTTCCTGTCAACCGTGTTCTGATTTGGGGACTTGTCGAGTGAATCTGTGTCCGAGAATACTAAGCGATAGGAATAGCTGGGTTGTAATAAGGGAGAATTATAACATCCCTTTTCCAAACTCTTTAGAGACTGAAAGAATGCTATCGACAACCCTATACTTAAACATAGAAAAAGATATCGTTTCTGACTACTGAACTATTGGTCCAACTAGCGCAGTGGCTAATGTTTTTGAGAAAACAATCCGGACTAATTTACTAAGTCATGTACAATCATGCAATCTGTTATCTATTGAGTAACCCGAGTCTCAATATTTATGATTAACTAACCAATAGAGAGAATCGGAGAGCCAACCCAAGATAGTAGTTTGACTATCAGCGTGATATTCAAATATTTTGATGTGTATCGATAAGGGCTTGTGAAAAGCTCTCAAGCTTTGGAACAACAGGAGTCATATAAGAGCGAGAGGAATTCTTGTGACCAGAGACAAAGGATGACGGTAAATGGAACACCATGTGGATTGAAATCGGTTAAAATCAGTATACCGTAAGACACCATCTTAGGTCCCCTATTTTTCTCTCTCTACGTCAACGAATTACCAAGACCGTTTAAGTCATTGACACTTTTCTGCAGATGATGTCAAAATCTGGAGAACAATAAGTAGTGAGAGTGATCGTCTTGATCGCCAAACTGGTCCAAATGAGTGAGTTAGATGCTCTCGAAGTTGAGGTTTGGAAATCGCTACTAAAGAGTGTGTTATTCTACATTCAACATGGCAATGGTTATCAGTATACCGTTAATGGTATATCGCTTCTAAGAGTGCAGGAACAATAAGACAGGAATAACAGTGAGTCATGACATGACTTGAAAGCAATCACGGATTGCAATGCAGCAACTCTCAAAGATTTTCAATTGTTATGGTTGTTGTTCCGCATCTTAAGTAATGATTTTGATGTTAACACGTATCATAAAACTCCCTACAGAACTAATTATCACCGAGGTCACAATAAGTTTAAAAAACCTTAACTAAACTTAGTGGGATTTTCTTTCACCGACTGTTAAACGACTAGAAGGTGCGTTTTATAGTGCTCTACGCGAACAGGTGTCATCATCTCAACCAGTGTACAGTTTCAAAGAGAAGCTGGATCTTCACACAGGTCAAACGACTTACTGTTTTCATCGCTGGAGACCGGACTTACAACTGAAGCAAGATTTTAGTACTAAATAGTAAGGATAGGAAGTCAGTCGACTTATATTAATCCTTGCAATTTTTAGTGCTGTGGAGATCCAAACTCACTTTGAATTTATTAACAGATGCTGATATTAAGTGTTCTGGTAGAGAATTCTAGCAATTCACTGCTCAATGTGAGAAACGGAGCTCTAGACGTAAACTATGTGATCTCGGTTTGTGCACTTTCTTAGAATATCTTCCTAGATCATCAGTCCTAGGTGAGAGGAAAAGATAATACATCTTAATGTCAAGACCAGTGTTTAAATTAGGCAAAAAAAGCACCGAGAATCGCGCACTGAGGAACTCTATATTTTACTGATTATCACGCTGATCAAGCCATATTTACCCGTACCCGTTGTCTCTTACCATTGAGAACGTTAATTATTTTAATTTAAGAACCAGGTGGTAGACCTTGTCAAAAGGCGTACTTAAATCTATGGAAAATACACTCGTCGGAACATTTTCATTGTAGTAGTAAAGAAATCCCCACAATCAATAGCTATGTAAGTCTTCGACATTTGATGCTGACCATATTAGTTTTAATGGACTCACCTGACTGAAGACGCTCAGATTCAGATTTGCATAGTACTACGTAAGGGCAGAAGGCCTACGGCCTGTGTTATTACTTTTCTAGTATGCTTCTATGAGTGTCCAGTCTTCTCTTGAATGAGTCAATTGAAGGTGCGGACACCAGTGCTTCGGGTAACAGGTTCCAAGTATTGATGACTCGGTATGAAAACCTGTATGTTACGGGTATTTGTTCGTTCTTGTCTTCTCTACTCGCCTGCTATGTCCTCTGAGATGTCTCGATCTAATGGGAAGAAAAAAAGAGAGTATGTTAGGTCCAAAAACATTTCTTAGGATTCTATACAGAGTAAAGAGGTCTAGTTTCCAAGCAGCCCTTTGTATGGTAAACTCCGGAGTTCTGGAATTGCGTGGGTAGCTGCCCTCTGTATTTTTTCCAGGATATCCGAGTCACCTTTTAAACAGGGGCTTGCAGCCTGAACGCAGTTCTTGAGCTTAGTTCTCACCAAGGTTGTATATACTGTAGTGAACAAGGTAGTATCTAACTTAGTGAATATCCGTTTTAAAGCCCAGAGGACTGAACACCCCTTGGCTGAGATCTGTTGACAATGACCGTTGTCTCAATATCATGACTCACTGTCACCCCAAGATCCTTGTGAGACCGAACCACGAGTATGGGCACTTCCCCTATGCTGTACTTATTTACCTTTTTATTCCCAAACTGCATGTAAATATACTTTGTCATGTTGACAGGCATCAGCCAATCTTTAGACTAGTTAATCACATCATTTAAGTCTACCTGAAGTGCGCGTGCATCTGCGTCTCCCGTTATTACTCGCCAGACTTTTACGTCGTCAGCGTATAATAACTTTGGGGACTGTACTATACTTGGGAGGTTATTTACATACAGTATAAAAGTATAGGACCTAGGACAGAACCTTGAGGTACTCTACGTAGTACTGGTCTGCAGGTGAAGAGCTCTGAATTTATTCGTACTTTCTGTCTACGACCTACTAGGAAATCCTCAAGCCATTTTAAAAGAGGTCCAGCGATGCCAAGATTTTTTAACTTGAGTAGCAGTCTATTTGTTGGCACCTTGTCAAACGTCTTACTGAAGTCTATGTAGACAACATCTACTGGGTTTCCGTTGTCTAGAGCCTTTACCCAATATTTCCTTGCTATAAGAAGGTTCGTTGTGCAAGATAAACCCTTTCTGAAACCATGTTGTTTGCTGTTTAACAGGTTATTGGTTTCCGCAAATGTCATTATGGTCTGTTTGACTATGCTCTCCAATATTTTAACTACAACACTTGTGAGGCTTACATGTCTGTAGTTCGATGGAAGTTGTCTTGGTCCTGTTTAGTGTATGGGAGTGACGATTGCATCTTCCCAGTCCATAGATAACACACCCTGGTCAAGTGACATATTGAATATCACAATCAATGGGGCTGAGATATGTTGTGCAATACATCTTAGGATTTTGGGGTGTACTTCATCTGGCCCCGTTGACTTTTCCATATCTAAGGTGCTAAGAGACTTAAGTACATCGTCTTGATCAAAGTCCATGACCTCTTATGCTGATGTCCATGAGTCAACTT